AGTCTTTAATTAGCTGAGTAATAAAAGCAAAATACTATGCTAAGTCAACTATGTTGGAAGCAAGTAGCCAATGTTAAAGTCGTTGTATGATTATTATTATCCATTAACTGTTTTAAAATGATTTTGTTACTCCGAATTAAACTGGGCCATTTAGCTTTTATTGTAGCCCATTTACGTGAATTGAATAAGTGTGCATTAGGGTTTTGTCTTTTGCTGGTTTAGGAAAATCTTAGTGGTATACTGGTATATATTGGCATAAAAGAGAATTGTGTGGGAGTGTATCGCCCCGACCGTCCTTACTAGTGGACTCCACGTCCTCTCTTGGGCCCATGGACACACCCTTGTCCGACGGCCGGTCCGTTACGTCCGGGAGGCTTTAAAGACTTGTTTACCAACCCTACAAATCACCACATGATCTTTTTCTTTGTTTTGTTCTCACTCACACGACAGTCACTTCCCGGAAGGTCACCCTTCCTGAAACTATTCCAGCTTAAGCATCCTTAACTGTGGAGTTCTCTCAGGTCAGTTGACCGAAAAGATAAGTGCACTTTGGTGACATAAGTGGCCAAATCAATTCTTTTAAACCTCTCCGCATGCACCACCATATTCTTGAAATCAGGATGTTACAGGGAGTCCCTCTGTTGACTACACCGAAACCTAGGATCGATTATATGTGAGTTTTTCTTTGTCTTTACCTTTATTAGATTATTAAATTTGTTATATGTTACTAGTTGTAGAGTTCTCTTGTCTCTTGTTTTTTGTTAGATATGAGTTCTTCTGTTCTTCTTTTGTTTGATAAAATTGCTTTTCATTACCTTATTATTAATTTGGAATCGTTCGTTTCTATTGTATTTGTGAGTGAGTGGTTTGACTTGGTTATAAAACGTGAGTATTGCGTCATTATGTCTCTCGTTGTTATTATAATTTGATGAACATTAAAGAATTAATATAGGAGATAAATTGACTAGATCGGTTAAAGGGATTGGAATCGACTCGTGATTAGACTAGGTGAAATTTAATGTTAATCAGTTTGATGAATTTTTTGGTTTTGTTAGTAATATGACTGCTCGTAAACAGAATTGTTGTGTTTCATTATATAGTACACTGTATTATATATAGATATAAAACCGGGTACCATGGTAGCGAGTCTTTTGTTTGGTTCGGAGTGATGCCACTTCCGTAACCATTGTATCTCTCTCTACTGGACCAAGGGAGTGTCAATTACAGACTAGTGATCGGTCAGTCCTAGTTACGTACTCTTTAGTCGGCGGCACCGCTATTGAGATTTTCTGCTGCTGTTATATCTAATATATGTATAATTTTGTGTATGGTATGGGATGTGCCGCTACTGTATCATTCGTCTGCTGAACCCGCCTTTCGTGAGACCAACGACTGTGAGCGCACAAAGCGGTACTAGATGCTTAGTCCACACTAGTACGCGTTGCTTAGGTGAGACCGCGGGCACGGTTGCCAAAGCATTTTGATTGTTCTGATGTTTGCAAATATTATTTTGGTGAATAAGTTAATGATAAGCGAATTGTTTTGATGATTATGTGAGTCATCTCTAATCCAAAATAGAATTAGGTACCAGTGCGTGAACATTGTTTGTTGTGGGATCAGACTGTGCCGGTACATAGGATCCAAATTTATTTGTGCTTACTCGACGATAGTCAATCGCTGATGTCGTCTGATTTCCGTAGGTTCTTTCAAGTTGGAGAATCAAGCTTGTTCGTGATTCTTGGGATCCGGGTGTAGAGCGAGACATCAAGGTTTAAATATTGAATTTTAAGACATTTTTTATTTATTTATTTTCTTTAGTAATGTTTCAATAATTCTTTCAGAATTTTTGGGGCGTTACAGTGGCAAACAGGACGAAAAATGGTTCTCACGGCCTCGTATCCAGATTTGACTTAGTAATTGTCCGACTTTGTCATGGTCCAACTGTATCCATCACTCGAGACATTACGGCTCGATTTTATCCCTAGTATAAGGGTAATCTCTTCTGAGGGGAACAATTCCCGAAGACGGTCCATTTTCCACTACCTCGTCTCAAAGTCGATCAAAGTATCGACATAGACCAATGTGTCTCTCTCCATAGTATGTCCCTTCGGGGGGCGAGCCGGGGAATCTCGAATCGAAGGATCGGTCCAAATGCACGTTCCAAACCCAGAGCCAATAATCTTGCGGATTCCATATTTAAAAATGTCTTTGGTGGCCAACATGCTTCTCCAACCGTACGATGGCCGGTTAGAGACAGTGATCATATTGCATGTGTAGTTTGTTTTTTTCTTTTTTCTTTTTTTTTGTCATCCGAAAATTAATTAGAGCTCAGAAGAGCCATTCTTGGGAAATGTTGTTTACATATGTGATATAAAACGGTTCTGTACGAATTTTTTGTGCCAGATTATCCGCTTTTACATTAGCATTACGAAAAATTAAAGATAAAGAAACGGTAGAGAATTCTTCCTTGTTGCTCTGAAATTCCTCCAAATACACTGAAAACGCCGGTCATTCGGTTGGAGAAGACGTCATCTTTATCAGATCAGAACAGTCTGTAAGGAACACTACTTCTTGATTATCTGCATAATTTGTTTTTTCTTTTTCTATCATTTTTAGTTTTCCGATTTGATTTTAGAACAGATAGTTATCTGCCTTTAAATAATCAATTTCTATTCAACAATTTGTAAAGAAGTCATATTTCTTTTCTTCTCATTGAACCCTTTTTCACTCTTGTCATCATTCTTTTCTTCTTTGGTGCATTTGACAGCTTTCTCTGCTTTTTTTCATCTGGATTATCGATCGGTCTTTTCAAGCATTTGCCTCAGGTCTCCGAAATATATAAAATTTTAGCCCCCAAATTTTGAAAATATGCTCTATCAAGATGGTTTGCGTGGCTTGTGAAATTTAAATTTAACTATTTGATGTTATTTGATTTTTTTTTTAATTAGGCTTTTAAAGGAAACCTAGAATTGGAAAACAAAAAGGAAAATGAGATCTCAAACTGAAAATGAAATAAAAATTCCAAAATAAAAAAGATTCAAATAAGTAAAATAATTGTTTTGGATTGGGTTTTGCAAGAAAAAAAATGAAAAATCTCATTTAATTCTAGATTGGATACCATTTTCTAAAGTATTTTCTTTATCTTCGTTTATCGATCTCCGCACTCTTTATCGGCGCTGGCGTTATCGAAGTTTTTTTTATTCTACTATTGATTTCTTAGTCATTTGAAATTATTGATTTGTTTTGAATAATTTATGTGGGACGTTTCAAAACTGTATTACTTTTTTTCATAAGACAATTTACTGGAAAGGCTCCTACTTTTTAAATTCACCTTAATCCCCAAAAAAACCTTAGCACGTCGAGAGTCAGTCAGATGTCTATACTTGAGGAGAGTAAAAACTCTTTTTTTTTATTAGGATAACAGAGTCGAGTGAGAGTCAATTAGATGTCTTTATCTGAAATAACTATATAAAATTCTTAGAGTTTGAATAAAATATCAAATTTTAAAAATGTTTTACGCTTTCAAGCATGATAAATGCAAGATTTGTAATATGATTTTCTATATTTAAAGAAGACATTGTCTATGATACACGCTTTTGCTAATGTATTATAAATCCGTTTCATGCCGCAATTGTAACGCACCGACCGTCCCTATCAGTGGGTCCCACGTCTTCTCTCGGACCCATGGGCCCACCCCTATCCGACGGCTGGTCCGCTACGTCCGGGAGGCTTTAAAGACTTGTTTACCGACCCTACGAATCACCACATGATCTTTTCCTATGTTTTGTTCTCACTCACAAAGTTCCGACAATCATTTCCTGGAAAATCACTCATCCTTAAACTATTACAGCCCAAGCACGCTTAATTGTGGAGTTCTCTCTGGACAGTTGACCGAAAAGATAAGTGCACTTTGGTGACATAGGTGGCCAAATCAATTCTTTTAAACCTCTCCGCATGCGGTGTTACAACAATAATTAAATTTTTTGTGTGTTTCGCAAATATAAACATTTGATTGACTCTCGACTATATTTTACATCTAAATATGTTATAATATAACAAATATCGTACTTGGACAAGAAAATTTAAACTGATTTAAACTTTAGTTTTTATTATTTAAAATCATATCATGTGTGATACAAATATATGGTTGTAAGTTGTAACATTCTAGAAATTCAAGAAAAACTATATTTCTTCGCTTGATGATGGAGCCCCTTCATAATGTAAACAACAACATTTGCCTCCCTTTGAAGAATAAGGAACACACAATAGAAACCTTGTATCTATCCCATGGCCTCTGCATATGCGTTTGCACTGGTCATCAGTTCTACAAAAGCCTTTGAAATCACAGCCGCTTGCTGGAAAAAAATAAAAAAATTAACTCAGGTTTCTTACATTTTTATTTTTATATGAAAAAATATAAGACTATGTTACCTGTTGATTGAGAAAAAAGAAGACAAATAATTAATATCAGATAAACAAGATGGTAGTTTTGTCCTGACATTATTGTATTTGTAGTTTTTTTTTTTGTGAAGACAATTCTTAGTTTTTTCTTGGTTTAAGAGCAAATGTTTATGAGCCTTTATATAATCATTTTCTATTCAAAATTTCCTTATATACCATTTCAGATTGCAAAAATCTGAGATAAATATCTTATAAAAGTCTTGCATCAATTATAGAACATTCCTATAGAGCTATATCAAAATTTATTTTAGGGCTATATTAATATCTATGCCCAGAGGATGAAAATATTAAGTTTCTATGCATGCAAATGAGGTAATTAAACCTCTCTCTTCCCCGACATAAGTTATGACGAAAAAGCCCCTACAAAACCGAAAAACGAAAACAGTTATAGCGTAGGTGCGGCATTAAATGCTGAGGATATCTTGCAAGATATCGCCGCCGGCTTTGGAAACATAAAGATACGATAAATATTGCAGCTGATATATGTTGGGTTGCGGGTATATCGAATATAGACGTTTGTCTATTTATTAGCACTTATCCTCTTTGCTGCAACAACCCAGTTCTATCACTCTAAATAGCTTAGCTTCCGACATCTTTAATGCAAGAGAAAGTTAAGCACACAGAGACATCAAAGCTTAAAGGTAAAAGTAAAAAGATTTGGGTATTACGTACTTTATTGTAGATGTTCAGAAAAGCGAATTTTTTTAGATTTAGGGTTTGATAGTTAAGAATAACAAGAACGCTAACAAATTTTTTATTTATTGCTGAAAACTCTAGCAGGTAAAAATGGCGTTCGTGGTGAGATTGGTCCCTGGGGAATGGAAAAAAGATGAAAACGGCTTTTTCGAACACGTCTCACATATGGATGGGTTTGCACTAGGAGTACGCCTGCGAGAGCAAGATGGGTTTGCGAAAGTGGTTATGGCGGTAAAAGAAAAGTTAGCACTGCGTCCTGAAGACAATATCGAGTTAACGTACCAGTGGCCACAGTGGATGATGGGCCCTGATTGGAAACGTGCAAACCCGATCGACATATTAGACGATGAGGACATGACTCTGTTCATGGCGATAAGGGCCGATCTAGATGAAGTCCATCTGCGGGTGAGGATTATACGAGGTGGGACTGAGCGAAACGTTAATAGTTATCGGAGTAACATGGATCTAAGCGGCCTAAGTTCAAAAGAAATATCCGATAAATACTGGAATAACGCAGAAACCAGGGCTGTCTGGGGATCCGCGCTAACACGAATGTTACTGCGTAACATTTCAGGTGAACAACTGATAACTAAATTCCTAAATATATTGCAGTAAGAATTAGAAGCTAATGATATTAACAGGCTTTATTACAATTGAATCAAGAATATATTTTCAGCTGTAAATCGACAATATTGGCGGATAATTAAATTAGTTGCTAAATTTGTTATCTACTAATTGTAAACCTGTTTCAGGTGACGCAGAAAGTATGACAACCATGGGGAAGGAGAACGAGGTGAACATAAGTAAAGGCGGTGAGCATCGCAACACGTATGAAGGGGTAACCATAAGAGACAACATGGAAATTACAGGCGGAACTAGCGGGATGCCACAAAAAGTAACACACCCCGGAGCAATTACAAGCTTAAAGGGAAAAGAGAAAGTTGTTGAAGACGAGGAGAGGGAGAGGGACCGTTTATTTGAAATGTGGCGAAAAAACCAACAGGAAGAAATGTGGCGAGAGATGTGTGCAACCCAAATGACCCTAGGAGGAACTCAAACTAATGCAACAAAAGTGAGCGACAAAGAGAAAACAGCGAGGGTCCTAGATTTCGGAAGTAGCGACCAGTCAAAGCGAGATCCAAATGCGGATTTGCGTCTAACTCTAGCGAGTTCAAAAGCACCAGCTGTTGGGCCGCCGGTGGTCGCTTTATCGTCAAGCGATTCAACCTTCGGAACGCCAACCTCGCTTTCGAGAAGCATTTCTTTCAGTACCGAAGACCTAATGGAGGATAGTGAGTCGTCGAACAACAACAGCTTATCGCTATTAGGTATGTTAATGAATAATCAATATATTATCCGCTATTTTGTTTATGCACACTAAAACAACCATAAAATGCTTTAAACTGTAGGTGACGAAACACTGGCACACTTTTACTCTGATGCTGATGGCCCTCTGATTATGGATCCTCAACCTATCACAATGATAGATAAAGGCAAAAGTATCATGATAGAGGACGGATTATCAACTAAAGAAATAGGGATGCCATCAACTAACACAAGAGTATCCGATGTACAGAGGAATGAGATGATCGTGAAGGATACACCCGTTCCAACGGTATTCTATGACAGCGATGCACCCCCATATTTCGACGATCCAGGGGAGGAAGGTAACAGTAGGTTTAGAGCGCTAAATAATAGTATATCCAATTGTGATAAGTAAGAAGTTATTGAAGTAACTACGATATCAGTATAACAAAGTAATTAAAGACTGAATTTATTAATAATGTCAGCTGCTTCGTTCCTCTCTTTCTCAGATGCTCTCCAACGAGCCCTAAAGGATGCTGATTACGAAGGAGATGACATTTACATCGGGAGGATTTTTAAAACCAAAGAGGATTGTGCAACCAAATTAGCTATTCATGCGATTCGCCGGAAGTTCCATTTCATATACGCGAAATCCGGACCTAATGTTGTGGCGGCTGTCTGCGTCAGCCATACATGCCCATGGCGGGTTTATGCAACAAAGCTGGCAGATAGCGATAGGTTCGAGGTAAGAAGCACAACACCAAACCACACATGTAGCGTGGATGCTAGAGGAGACTTCCACAAACAAGCTTCAACGGCTGTAATTGGGAAGTTAATGCGAACAAAATATATTGGAGTAGGCAGGGGACCACGAGCTAATGAGCTGAGAAGGATGCTACGCCAGGAATTCAGCCTCAACGTCTCATATTGGAAAGCTTGGCGGGCAAGAGAAATAGCTATGGACAATGCAATGGGGTCAGCTATGGGAAGTTACGCTCTAATCCAACCATACTTCAAGCTACTTTTAGAGACAAATCCAAATTCTCTAGTAGCAATGGAGACAGAGAAGGATAACTCTGGCGTAGAGAGATTCAAGTACTTGTTTTTTGCGCTTCATGCATGTGTTCAAGGGTATGCTTACATGAGGAAGGTGATAGTCATTGATGGGACTCACCTACGAGGACGATATGGCGGATGCTTAATTGCAGCTAGTGCACAAGACGCGAATTTTCAAGTGTTTCCCATTGCATTTGGGATAGTAAACAGCGAGAACGATGAGGCGTGGACTTGGTTCATGACTAAGCTGACGGAAGCTATACCAGATGATCCAGAGCTGGTATTTGTGTCTGACAGGCACTCCTCAATTTATGCCAGCATCCGCAAGGTAACAATGTTGTTAACTGATACAATTGCAATTATCCCAATATCTATTACGCATGCTAAGATATCCACTAACGTCTATAATCTTTGCGCAGGTTTACCCAATGTCATCTCATGCTGCTTGCATCGTCCATCTGAAAAGGAACATTGAGCTTTACTTTAAATCTGAGGAGCTAAGTGCATTGGTTTCGTGTGCAGCGAGGGCTTATCGCCTAAGTGATTTCAACCGGCTTTTTGCTGAAATTAGGGCTAAACATGGGCCATGCGCTGACTACCTGGCAGGTATTGGGTTTGAGCATTGGACGAGATCCCATTTTGTTGGAAATAGATATAACTTCATGACAAGTAATATAGCGGAGTCGCTAAACAATGTGTTAACCATGGCTCGCGATTACCCGGTAATCTCAATCTTAGAGTCTATCCGCACAACTCTGGTGACATGGTTTGCGCTTAGGAGGCAAGCTGCCCAGCTTGAGGACAATATCCTACCGCCAAAGGTGAACGATATGGTAATCGAAAATTACGAGAAAGGAGCAGGATGTGCTGTAATAAAGATTGGGGAAGGGCTATATGAAGTTAGAGAAAAAGGAGGCGCAGCATTTGCGGTCAACCTATGTGAGAGAACATGTACGTGCAGGGAGTTTCAGCTGCTAACAATCCCTTGTTCTCATGCCATAGCGGCAGCAATACAAGAAGGAATCAGAGTGGACACGTTAGTTGGAGTCCATCACACCAACCCCCAGCTTAGGTTGTCTTACCAAGCGCTAATAATGCCGGTACCCGACACGGAGACACTGACTCCTTCCCCAAATGATGTAGGGGGTGGGAAACTGGCTCCACCATATGTTCGGAGACCGCCTGGCCGCCCAAGGAAACGAAGATTATTTTCAAGAGGCGAGTTCAAGGTAACCACCGTGAACTATATATGTGATAAACAATACTAACTCTCTTATGAGCTAAGATTATTAGGTAGTAACATTCTGTTACATTTGTAGAGAACATCAAGGAAAAGATGCTCACGATGCAAGTCATTAGGTCATAACAGGGCAACCTGCAATGGCCCAATAACGGTAATAAATACTTTAACAGTTAGTAAATGAATTTGGGGATATTTACTGTATCTCGTTGGAATGCAGGAGAAATAGAGAACGGAAGGAAGGACGTTTTTTGGCGACTAAAGCGATGGATGGATGTTGTCAGGATTAACAAAGAAATTGGCCTGGCTATGTGAAATAAATAAGGAACTCAAGGGATCAGAAAATTTTTAATTGTGCATACGTACGGCTGCTGTTCTCTAAATGTAAAATTATCGTATCCCATCCATCTTTAATCAAGGAATGTTCAATATAATGGGCAATGTTCATTAAGTGTTTCAATGATAGAGAAATCTCTATGGCCCAAAGTTAGCTAACCGACATTAATCATGGATAAGTAAGTTATCGTGATAAAAATTTATTTCACAGCAACACTTGGGATAAAAAATGAAAATTACAAAAATCGAGATGACATAAAATTTAATCTAGCCCATACCTTAAAATGGGTAGCCATGTTAGCCGATATAACTACTAGCAGGCAATAATAATTACCGATTAAAAAATATACAGATTAAATCACATGTTGTCCGATACGATGAAACATGTATATAACACTGAGAGCCAACTAATGTAAAAACCGAGTTGAAAGAAAGATTAAACTACGAGAGAAAAGGGTAACGGTTTGAACCGACATAACAAATAGCTGATAACAAAATCAAATACGCCGATAACTCATTTTGACACATTGGGTTAAACAAATCAATTACACTGGGGGAGACAACTTGTCTATTAACTTAGCTGTAAGTCAGCTTATGTGCTAGATGATAATAACGTTACACAGTAAAATAAATAACGACTATCTAAAAAGGTAGCCCATTAAATCTTCTAGCAGAAATCGCAAAAATTAAACAAAACGACATACACGATCAGATAACGAGTCTATTATTACCTAGTTAACTTCTTCAATAACTAATAACCAACAGCTAATTCCTTTTTCTTCGCCTGACTAAGCATCATGTAAACAATGAGAATGCTGATCAAGCAAAGCCACACAAAACACATCAGCAAGCACACTTTCCACTTGCGGATCTCCCTTCTACTCAAGATTGCTTCATCTTTAAGCTCTTGTAACATCACATTAAGCTCATTAACCTCGGATTTGGCTTGGTTTATCTCGTTTGCAATGATTCCAAATTTGGGTAAAGCATCTTCAACCTCTTCGTACACAGCATCCTCAACCCACTTAAACACATGACCCTATTGCACAACCAAACCAAATCAGACAAGTTCAACTACAAAACTACACAAATACACACCATAAACACCAACTGTACTTACATCTCTTTTGTTCGTCCACGACTTCGGATCTCTTTTCGTTTTACAACGGAAAAAAAGGCCTTCCTGGATTCTCTTGAGACTTCGACGTGAAGATCGTCACATCTACTCCACACGAACACTTCAACGGAAAACCACGGAGGTCTCCGCCAACACCATATGACCCTTCACTTGAACTCATTGACTAAGAAGATCAAGTTAAAAGACTCACAATCTGAAAACCCAATCAATTTCCGAAACGAAAATAGAACAATTCTGATTGATTTCTCTCTTTTAAGGGTTAGGGTTCTGGTGAATTGGGGATTTCTGTTTCTCACTTTGGGGGAGATGAGACTTCGATTTGATTTAATTGAGACGGTAAGCCAAAACGGCGTCATTTTGTCATAAATACCAGCTGTCGTAGTTAAAAATATTTACAATATCTTGCCTCGTTAACAACTCGTTTAAGAGGGGTGGTCGTCATCGATAGATGGATTGTTAACAACCTACACAAGCATTTATCGAATTTATTTCTGATAACAATATTTAGAGGTTAATATAATTGTTAGCACATTAAAACGTAACAACTTGGCTCTAAATTATCTCCACCACCAGCTTGGAAAGGGGCTCAATTAACAGAGTTACCCCCCGGTTTGGATTCCGATAACATACTTAACGACGGGACTAATATGGCAAAGTCAAGAAAAATTGAGTATTTGTGGAGTATTAATTTTCCCATAATAAATTACGAAGCTACTATAATAAAACGTTCAATTCCAAATATATTAAGGGGCAAGTTTGGATAAAATCCTAGTTACCCTAAACAAAATAAAGAAGAAAGGGAAGTCAGGATCCGATGAACATTAACAACACTGAAAAAAGGACTTCGATAACATTAGAGTTAGCTAGTAACCGCTAGCGAGAATTAAAGCGGACACTAACTTTTTCACTTCACTTTGAAGGCCGCCAACCTCGAAATCCACGCATTCAGACACACCCCCGGTAGCATGAGTATGGATAAGGAATATAGAGAAGATGCCGGAATCAAGGGGTGAAGCAACCTGAGGAATGATAAGAGGACGCTCTATAGAAAATGGATCCAGCAGACAGTTACCCATAAGAGGATTGAAGGCAGCCTGTTTGAAAAGGTATGGCAGCATTACTGCGAGAGGCATAAGCTCATCCAGAATAGCAGAATCTTTGCGGCGTTGGATATTTGAATCCAAGACAATGATCTTCCAGGATTTAAGATCAACAGCTAAAACTACCCAATGCTTCTTGTCAAAGTTAAAAGGCAGATACAAGTAATCAGCCTCCGTGAATAACTGGACACGGTCAGACTCCCCAGCACCGGAAAGGAGATCGGTTAGTGGCAGTGGGAATTGGAACTCCGATTTGGACGGGCATCGGGAAAACTTAGGGAATTGACGGCAGAATTGTGAAACGAACTTTGAATCAAGGACTTCAACGCGTAGTTTATCGCCGTCAACATCATCAGTCCTCAACAAATGACGACTAAACTTGATAAGAGCATCCATAACCTGGGGGAATGAAAAAAAAAAAAAATTATGAAATAAAAGGAAATAACCCAATATAAAACTCACTCAATAGAATATATTTTACAACAACGGTACCTTGCTTGAAAGATTTTTCTTCCGGTCAATTAAATCCAAAATATCTTTATTAGACAGAGCAACACCACCACAAAAGCTAATAGAACTGTTGAAAGAACAAGATGATATGAAAGATTATCGAGAGAGAAATATAATGGTAATCATTGTATAGGCTAAAGAAAAAAATATCAGAATAAACAATACCTTATCGCCTTGAGTTTCTTCAGTGAATTTTGGAAGCGTTCCTCAGGGTCAACGCAAATGTTAGCTTGGTTGACAACAGGGGATGGATGACCAACTAACAACTTCGTTTTCTTATCATACTGGAATCGACCATCTAGCTTGGTAGAAAGAGTACGGACCCTTTTACTTCTCCTCCCAAGCATTCCATCCAAATCGTTAGCATTACAATCACCCTGCAGGAAAAGGGGACTAAATTAGAAAAGGAGCGAAATTTGAGATTTACCTACCAAAGATACTAAATTATATCAAAAAAACCTGGAAGGGAGCCTTCCCTACTTTAGAAGGGGGGGGAGTGGTGAAATCCTGAAATGGGAAAATAATTAAAAACGAACTAACTGCTAACAAAAACAATAGCATTTAACCAATTAGATAATACCTCATCAGAATCCTGAGAAAACAGCAACAACGAATGATTAATAAGGGCTAAAGAATTAGTTAGCAACCAAAACAAACACATAGAAAATACAATAAAACCTCGCGTGGGGAGGAAACAACAGAAGGGGCAGCCCGGCCAGCACCCTACAAAAAATGGGAGTAATAAAAAAGTTAAAGGCTAAACGAGATATATAATTAAAAAAATATCAGCTAAATGACAAGTCAGGGCCCTGATAATACCAACCAGATCATTAGTTGCTGTCATATCAATAGAAACAGCCTCAGGGGTATCAACCGCCTCTCCATCACACACAACCCCACCATCAGAAGGCAGAGAAGCCTTATTCACAAAAAATTTTAAGAAAAAACAGACAATATGAGTACAGAACCGGTTTTACAGGATGACTAAATTTTTAATAGTTTTCACACGAACAGGGTCATTGGGAGGTTAACAACTAATCTTCCCATCATCATGAAGACCACAAACAGATTGAGGGCTAGACTAAGTAAAAATAGACTTTGAAAGTAAAGAACATAGACATTAAAAAGACTCTTAGTACGTTAACCTTTCATATTTAAATTAAAGTTGGCTAGCATGGAGGGATACATTGATACATATAAGTACCTGAATTCAACTAAAATTGAAATTTTAAAACACCAAAACTCTTAAAAATAATTCCAAAAACCAAAATAAATATATAGTTTAGTGCCTAATAGCGTTATCACCCGAAAATTAATCTTTACAAAGAGAGTAGAACAGAATAGGAAAGAAAAGCCTAACGAAATGGGAACAATATGGTTTGTAATTTAGCTGCTAACCGAGATATCCGGGATACCCACATGCGTCTCCTCGCCAACAGTACCATCATCCGACGCAGGAACACCCTGGGCAACGAAGAATTGAAATGAATTTAAACCAGAAGCAAAAACAGAATTGCAAAAGACAGACATATTCTATCTTGTATTATACTATTATAAAATAGATCTATTACCTGGCTTTCCTCTAAAGCATTACGCGGGGGGGCCACAACGCCACCTGTCGGCTGAGAGCATTGAACCTGTCCATTCAAACAATAACAAATGCTAAGAAACAGGCAACAAACAAATAACTGCACTAATTAGATAATGACAGATAACCTCTTCGTTAACGATCGACTCGTTGGGAGTTATAAATGCTTCATTCACTGGAACATTCTCAACGCGCTAAAGAGAAAAAGAAAAAAAAAAATTAGCAAAAAAGTTAAACTCCAGTGGGGGGAAATGCAAACATGGTTAACAAAACTCCATTAATAACAAATATATAGATTAAACATTTTAGTAACAGTTATCCCACTAAAAAATAACAACTAACCTCTGCGTTATCTTCAACCACAGCCTCTGTGGATGGGGCAACATCACCTGTAACATTGTTACCGTCCTAAAAAAATTAAAAAAAATTACTTAAACAACAATAAAACACCGTCATAGCGTCATTGTATGTTTGATGGTAAAAGTAAGTGTTAGCATCTACCTAAGATAACACCAAATATCTGAAATAACTTAGCCAAATACCACCATATACAACTCGCCCACATTTTCCTAATAGTTACCCCATAAAAACCATAACAACTAACCTCGGGGTTATCTTCATCAACACATTCTGAAGGGGGGAGAACATCAGCTGTAACATTGTTAACGCCCTAAAACAAAATGTAACAAACAATGTAAAAAAACAATAAACACACAAAAAGCCTCAATGAATATTTGATGATAGAATAACAGTTAGCATCTAACTAAAATAACACCTAATCAATGAAATAACTTAGCCAAAAAACACCATTGAAAACTCGCCCACCTGAGAATTATGGACCACATCGCCAGCATGGAGAATATCTTCACCCATTGGAACAGCATTCTCCCGCTAAAAACAAAGAAGAAAGCCATAATCAAGAAAATATCCACCAACCCAAAAAAACAAAAATTAATAAGACAAAAAAAATTTACCCCCGCCTCCTTGCAACCAACACCAGTTGGAACCTTCTCAGAGTAGAAAGATAAAATTTCATCCACAGTGGCCTCGACATTAGAAGTTCCTTCGCGGCAATGAGACCGAGCATGGCCACGGGAGTGGCGGAGAGAATCAAATCCAATATCATCATCACCACCATTGGAACCCAGACCATCAGAATTAGCAACACCATCGTTACCATTGTTGGCAGCCTTCTTATGACGAGTAGACCCACTGACAGGCTCTTTCGAGGTTTCGCCTTCAATAACAGTGTTTTTAGTGAACCAATCTGTCACCGCGGCAATGATTTTTTTCGCCTGCCCTTCAAGTTTGGCATCCAACAAAAGGGAAATAGACTCCAACGAAGGACCTCCTGAACTCCCGCCTTCCTCAGGGATAGGTCTTTCTTGTCTGCTCCTAACACCACCGTTCTTAGTTAGTTTGGCAGCTTTCCTAGTGCGACAACCATTGGATTTACCACCTCGCTTTTGTTTTTTTGAAGCCAATTTCAACTGGGATGGGATAACTCCACCATCAAACATGTCATTCTTGAAAATCAGACCCTCACCTACAAACATCAGAATATTATCGACCTTCTCATCTTCCTCATCATCAGACCAAGACAAATCTTCCTCCGGATTCAACGCATAATCAGGACAAATAATGGTATCAACAAAAATCTGCAAAACAACCAAGATAATAATACCAGATGGCGTTAACTTGCTTAAGAGAAAAAGGCGTTATAATTAACAACATAATTATCGGTGACTTGTTCAATATATACTGATAACAATGTTGATAAATGTTAACAAAGTTAAAGAGATAAGGACATTACCGAGCATTTTTTATCCAACACTTTAGCATTCCCTAGCTTGAAAGGGACAGACTCTCGAGGGGCATCTTCAACATCGACATCGCCGGCTTCAGCTTCAGACTCAATGATCTCATCAATTACAGGTCCATCTTGAATAGATGGAGCTGCCTGTAAGACAACCAATTGCAGAGCGTATAACAACCCCTGAACGCTAAAACAAGTAATTGCTAATTGTTCAATTTCCCTCTCTTTAATCGACTTAATCATCATCTCGAAAGAGAGACGGCCCCAAGGGTATGCAAGAAATGCATCCACGTCCTCAACCATTTCGGCGTGAGCTTTAACAATCTTAGGATAATGAGAGGTAGGGACAAGGAAACCATCGACAATAGCTAAGCAAGCAAGTCGGATCCTCATATCGGCATCGGAGATAATCCTTTTCTTCAACATCGTAATAGCCCGGTCTACAGTTACATCTTCTTCAAGGCCAAACAACTTACTGTAAAATGGAATCGTCTTCCCCGCAGTGCCTTTCTTCTTTTTCTTCTTCAAATTCGGATACTTCCCACAAGGTAAACCCGTAACAATCTTGAACTCTCTCAAAGAAAAACGAATAGGAATTCCGGCAAAGAGCACCCAAATCTCGTTCGGCTTCGCCACCTCCAACTGTCTACCCAATATAAAAATCCCAAAGCTCGCAGACCAGGCGGGTTTGTTAGGAAACTCCAATAGTTGACCGAATGTAGATCGAGAAAGGAACTGCCGTTCACCATCGTCGAGAGCGTTGAAGATAGCGCAAAGGGTTTTCATCTTATGATACACATTAACCCTATCGCCGCGAGGCTCGTGACCAAACGCAATCAACCGGGGAGGAAGCAGAATCGGAGGCATCGGTTCTGAGAAAAAAAGATAAAATCCAGTTAAAGAACAATAAACATGGCGACCAAAGCAAAATCAAACAGAAAAAAAAACTATTTCACTTACAAGAAAAGAGAAGAAGAACAAAACCCAGATCTGAGAGATAACCCTTTGCTAGAAAAAAAGAACCAGAGAGAAAGAATACGAGCGGACAGTTTTCGGTTCTTTATCTCTCTGACTGAACACACCGTCTCTCCTCCATATATGATGAGAACAAACACGACTGTTCGGAAACTGGAGAAGAAAAAATTAAAAAAAATAAAATTTAAATAGCACATCTCCCCAAAACAATATCTCGCAAAATCTTCTGCTACCTTCTGCAATGATACAGCCCTATAATCTAAATACTACTCCTTTGATGCTATAGGGGTACATGCGTAAAAAAAAATTGAACAGAAGCGAGTGAACAGTGTAAAAAGGAGGGACTTAATTATCGCTTCCTCTATGCATATCGCTTGATATTTCCCTTTATTTTATAAAAGTCTTTCTTCAGCGTTCCATTTATGAGAAGGTCAGAAGAAAAGGAATTACCAAAAGGAGACCAAAAAAACATTGACTATTGACTATAAAGAAAAGCATGACTGTCTCTAATTAATTTCGGAAAAAAAAAAAAAAAAAAAAAAAAGCATGACTGCCTAATCCATTCATGTGTGACATTTTTCTATCTTTGTGATCTATATTTTAAATAGTCTCTCCCTCCATTTTATTGTGACAATATTTATAAAGTATGTCCATAGCAAAACCTTTTAAATATTTTTGGTTGTTAAAAATTGAAAGACAACTTAGTAACATTTCATTTTAATTTTGAAATTCTGTGTGAAACTATGTACACTTCCATTTTTTAACTATTTAAACTTCACGAGCTAATCTTTCAATTATTAGTAACACTTTCTTTATTAGTAACAAAACTTTTAAAGAAAATATAAGATTTTAAATTTAAAAATATATTTCATCATTTTTAAAAATCAGAATAAATGCATAATTTTATCTTAAAAACAAAATCTCCTAGATGACGTCCCTACGACTCTACCAATGTATCCTGAATTAGTTTCATGCCGAAGAAATGAGATTTCTTGAATTTTGTCCAAGTAGATGTCTAATTGACTCTACACTGTGTTATCTTGATATTAGATTGTCCTACTTCATTCTAGAAGTACATTTGTTTACCTTTTGTATAATGTTAGGGGATGGATATACAAATCGAATTTAATTTGCCGACATAATACAAAGATTTGACAATAGAAAGAATTTAAAAACGATGATTTTCTTTGTCTCCCAGAGTGATTATCAATTCTTTCCGGCGGTGATGATGATTGCAGTGGGATATGCACCGACGGCGACTATTATTAAGGTTCTGAGTTTTCGGACCAAATTACAGTCTCAACAATGATGGCGAATCAAACGTACATAGACTCGGTTAGAGTTTTGATCTCTCTAGTGATTGGAAACGATTACGTTTTCAGAAAGTTCCTCCAACAATGGAGAGGGTTTATTCATGGATAGTCGGAGTGGGTCAAAATTTTGACTATACTCACGTCGAGCCCGTTATCTCCGTGAAGGATTTTCTAACTCTCCATTATGACCAATATCCCCCACAATATTTTGGTAAAAAGATTGAGTATAACATTCAAAGAATATGTTGGTGTATTGGTCGGCAACTATGGGATCTCGGGATATCAAATATACAAAGAATTAGCGAGTCGTTAAAAGAAAAGATACCAAGTCTTATAAATAACTTTAGAATTGGATCTTTCATCTCTGGAATGAGTTGCAATGATCTAATCTTCGTTGTTATAAGATAGACAAAAAAAAAAGGATTGGACATAACATACTGATTACTGACATACAATATCCGTAAGTCTCCTCAAAATTGTTCAACATTTTGCTTAAAATTCAAGAAAGCTCGAATTAAGTATTGGTCGGACGTAAGAAAACGTTTTCCCAATTTTCGTTGTTTAGTTAAAAATATGGCTCTTGGATTACCAGACCTGACAAAGGATACCCAACCTCCAATTAGTTAAGATATCTCACCTCCAATTAGTTAATGATATATATAACCCATTACTATATGGTTGTATTATAGTGAGTGTTATTGATATTTTACGAAAATATACTCGATAATGGAGAAATTAGAGACATTAAGCTAGATTCTAAGCACCATTACCATCTATATGATACGAAAAATTTATCATGATTTTAAATTCATAATATTATTTTTACCGCTAGAGAATTTCATAATGAATCACAACCTAGTTTTCAAGAATTACAATCGATAGATAATTTTTCCAGTGAATAAAAAAAGTATGCGGCTAACGAAACAAAACACTAATTAAACTACTATAATTTTATCTTTCCTTTTTTTGATGAAAACTATAATTTGATCTTTCTAAGGAAATCTTATATATACATTATTTTTTATTTTATTTTTGTATGAATGTAAAATTTATTCACAAATAAAGACGGTTTTACAAATGAATGCAACTTAACACCAAAGTTTGAAAACGGTTTAGAACAAGATTATAACATAAGATGATCGCTAGCGCCGATGGGTGCTAAACCAATATACATTATATTGAATAGAATCTATATATAATAGCAATCTAATAAATACCATTTGCATATCTGAACGGTTGCGTCTTTTTATCGCAACTTTTCGCTAATGTTTTTATTAATTAAAATATATATTTTACGGTTATGTTTTTTTATATAAATTGCATTCTGAATGTTTTTTACGGTTGCGTTTTTTATTGTAACTCTTCATAAACAGTTGAAACCGCTTATTCGAATCATTGCAATATTTAGTTTATTTTTACGAACAATTGCAACCTTTGGTTTATATATTTAGTTTATTTCACGAACAATTGCAATTTTTGGTTTATAGCTATAACATTTAATTATCTACCGCCGCGTCTCGGTGTAACTTTTCATAAATTATTATTTTAATTCTTATTTTTTATTACTAAAATGTATTTAAATGAGATTGTAACTATTTAATTGAACTGTTTCAATATTTGGATTATTTGACGAATTATTAAAATTTTTGGTTTTGTGTTACAAACCATTGTTATCTTTAGTATATTTGATGAACTATTGCAATATTTGGTATAATTGACGAACCGTTGCAGTTTTTGGAATATTTGAAATCTACGGTTGCGTTTCTCGGATAAGTTCGTCATATTTTTAAAAAATATTTAAATACTAAAATATATTTAAATGAATTATTGTTACCGTTTAATTTAACACAATAGCATTTGGTTTATTTGACGTTGAACGTTTTGGCTTATTTATCAAACCATTGTAATATTTGGTTTATTAGTTTATGCTTTTGCACTTGGAAATAGTTTTTTAGTTACAAATTATTGTTTTTCTAATATTAATATACTTAATAAATGCTTGTGAGGGTTTTCTTTATCATAATTTTTGTAAAATATATATTGATTTGTTATTAAAAATTTTTAAAATTATTACAATTCATTATGATTTTTTCGTTTGATATTTTTTTAAATAATTTTTGAAATATATTCCCCCGTGACATCGCGGGGGTCCTGAGTCCTAGTAAAGATAAGATCAAAGATATAATAATACAGGATAAAGATAATGCTACAAGCCCACACCATATCAAAAACTCAGTATAATAATACTATACGTCAATCTCACACATGTCTTTCATGGATGTTACGTAGTCAATTTATCACTAAACCCTAATCATGCATGTTGGTGTTTTGCCATGCCCATGACACAAAAACAAAAGACTTGAGATTTAAGGATTGCATGAGTTAGGTTCCTTTTTCAAATCACGGACCTAACTTAACAGTATGACATTCCTCTTAACCTTTTGCATTATTCTCACATTTATTTGACAAAAAGTCCTCCGCTTATAATTTAGAAATTAACAATATAATATAATAAGACAGATTTATAAACAGTTTTGTCGACCACTTTCTCCGAAATTGATGACTCACCAAGAAACATTTCGAGATTGGGGTTTGTTAGGCTAACAACCTATTGGTTAAATTTTTGACACTTTTGTTTGAAGAAAGAGGGTCACGAGTCCTTTAAAGAGAACGTGACTCCAAAGTGTACAATGCTATATCTACTCGTAGATGTATTATCTCGTTCCTTATTCTTTTGTGCGTGTGGTATTCTCATTTAATTGGGAAAAAATAGGATTCACTTATTTAGTTATTTACTTTCTTTTTTTTCTAATGGAAACTATGATTGTGATAAATGTTAAATTCCTGCTAACTGATTTAAAAATTCTAAACGTAAACACAAACTTGAAGAAAAAAGTCAAAAAGATGTCGTTATCCAGGTTAAGACATTGTAGTCCCGATTGTTTTAGATGCAATTTTTAACCCTTGACGTTTACATACAAATATTTTTACAGTTAATCTCTGTAGATTAAACACATATCCAAACGTGAAGTGTTTCTTCCATTCAAGTTTGCACTTAATTACATTCAAGTATAAAAAGAAAAAAAAAACGTTTTCAGTTAAGCTTGTATATATATTCACATTGTGTGTGTGATTATATTCACATAAAATCAAAGGGATGCAAGTTTAACGCAAAACAAATGGTCTAAATGAACATCGGAATACGGTGAAATAACTGAAAAATATATGATTAAATAACTGTAAATAATAACAGAATGATAAATTATCTATATATATATATATATATATATATATATATATATATATATATATATATATATATAATATGATTGTTTAATAAGTAGTGGATTTATAAACGAAACTCTTAAAAAGTAATAGTAATTTAATAAATGAAAATTATCCATGGTTTTTGTAACTAGTATAAATAATTAACAGAAAAACTTAATAAAAAATTATTGAAAATTTATTCTAAGAATTAACATGGCTAAAAAAAAAGTATCTGGCACCTTCATGTATAATAGGATTAGCAGATATTGAAATTTTAATATTTTAAAAATTAAGATTTTCAATAATATTTTAAGGTAATTAGAAATTGTTCTTACAAAATTTTAAAAGTCATCTAAAATATGCTAAAATTACTAAAATTAACCAAACTTTCTCAAACCAATATTTTAAAATATTATCCACATTTGGCCGTAAGTACCGAAAATACCCGAACATGAATTAGACGCTTACTCGTTCACGTAGTGATTCTATAAATCCGAATTACCTATTTACACCCTAAATGCCAAATATGTAGATATTAAATTGATATGAGTAATGAAATAATGTATCGACAAGTTAAATGATTTTCCCATCTAGAATGGTTAATTAAGGAGAAAACAATACAAATCCTTTTTGACATCGAGAAGTTTACGAGCGATTAACAACATATGATTAAATAAATTCAAATACTTACAAATCCCAAATATGGGATGTGAAGGAACATGAAGGACGCTACGAAAATTACGAACATGCATGAGAGGGAGGTTTAATCAGAAAGTTTGGTGCTTGAGAGCTCTACCAATTTGCTTTTTTTGTCGGACAGTATCATCAATCTGAAATCGGCAAATATTTTTTTATCTATGTGGAGAATATTCATTTCATTCTTCGAATGTATGTTTCTAACTCCTTTTGAACTTCAAATAATATAAATGTGACTACTAGTAGCTTGGAAATGTATATTGGGAATAATTATTCAATCAAATATGACAAATTCTCCGACTATTGGTTACTATGTTTATATATAGCTATTAAAGGCTAAACAAAAGCTTAGTTTAATATAAGCTTAGTTTTACTTACTTGTGTTTCTACCATAATATCTATACGATTTGCATAAAATAAAATATAAAAAAAAACATATATACGATTTATTGAGTTTTTCCATCTCTTATAAATGTATATGTATCCATGTTTTGATGGTTGTTAGCTACAATTTATAACTAGTAGCTAGTAGATGTAAGTTTCTAGATCTAGGTAGCATAAAGGTCTGCGTAATCCACACGATTCAAGGTCTGACTCGCTACAATCAAATTAAACATCTATTGATTTTGTAATGTTTTCTTCAGTTTCTCATCATGCTTTGGTTTCACTAATATGATTTACTTTCTTTGCCAATTCTATTAGATAATTAATGAAATTTTCAAAAATGTTGCACCACCGTATTGTTTTTAGAATCTTGGTATTATATATCGTATGAATTTTACTAAAAATAGATTTAATTTCTTATTTCTTTAATTTATAAGATTTTAACTTAGTAAGATGTAAGTTTACATGCAACCGAAATAGAACACACATAGCTAGCACTTATGTTGACTTCACATTACTTACCGAAATGGAATTAATACAGATACTCATGATGAGTAAAAGTAAGATGTCTTTTCTTTTGGAAAAGAAGATCAATAAAAGTAATATTAAAAAAAAAAAAAAGGAATTAATACAGATACTCATTTATTCATTTTTTGAACATTATTCATTTATATTAACAAAGAAAGTTATGATTCTTATGAAGAAAACCCTAATCAAAGCTTGTTGCTGATGCAGCAACAGACGCCACTTAAGAAAGCTACTAATGTCCAAACTTGTATATGTGTGTTTGCTTCGTCCTTCACTCTCTATAAATTCACTTCATTTCTTCTCTCAATTCACTCACCAAGTAATATTTTTATATCACTTCTTTTTAATTTAGAGTTCATACTATATAAGTTGTGACACAGAAAAAAAAAGAGTTCGTAAAGGAGTTCGTCTTTTGGTTGAGTTATTCGGTTTTATACACTGTTTTTAACAACTACTTATTTTTATTCTTATTATATCTCTTTCGCCTAAACATGTGTACTGGAAAATCATCATACACAAAATCCTCACCCAAGGTTATTCAATAATTGGTTATTCAATAATTGGTTACTTTAGTTGTCACTTTTGTGCACGTATATATGTGTGATACACATTGCACGTAAAATTTGCACACTATAAAAATGGGCACATTTGTAATAATCTATACATTAACCAAAACAAATTAGACAGACTTACATATTGACAAAATGTTTTTTTTTTGTGTGTTTTCAAAGTTTGGGAAAACAAGTCCAACTTCTTCTGTACTCTCCCTGGGTTCCAATGGTAAAGGAATGGTGAGGATACGATTCCATTTATTTATTTATATTCTTACATTGTTTTTCTAATGAGGCATTAACCATTGATCTAAAGACCATATTTTGACAATATAATGTTCTCATTTTTACTGTACTCTAAATTTGGGTTCATGGCTAATTTTGTTTTTAAGTTAAACTTGCCTACGAGTTATCTAGCTTTTCAATTGTATGAATATGTTTGGTGGAAATAAGTTTATGCAAGTAAATCCTTTTGGCAAAAAAACTTTCATTGTTTTTAAAATTAAACAAAATGGATGGTTTTTTTTATGTTCATTATCTCATGCATGTAAGAAATTCACAACGTTTTACAATTCCAAAAAAAGAAAAACTCAAATTCTATCCAAATTATGTAACATCATTTCTTTCTGTCGATGCCAGCATTGTTTACCTACCATTTGACATTCCAATAACTTCTACAGTAATGCGTGCGTGTGTGTGTGGTGATCATGATCATTTTCAAGCAATAGTAAATCCGGAAATGTTGCTATCTCCCATTTTCTAGATCAAATAGTTAAATAAAAGTACACTTGGAGTTCTATTCTAGGTAATTTTATGTCTTACTTGTGAACTTCTCGGTCAAAATAATGAGTAAGAAAAAGTACATAGATATATACTATAGTGTGTTAGTATAGTGTATAGTGATAAATGTAAACCGTCGTATACAGTAATTGAATTCCCTTACTTAATCTAATTGTAGACCAAAGTGGAACCACTCAAAGACAGAGCCCATGACAAAAACAAGGCAGCCGCGGCTAAGGTACCCAAATAGATATTCTATGAACAATTTTGAAATTCTTTCAAATAAATATAATCACAACTATCCAAAATATCTTTAGCCCATAAAAGAGAAACAAAATGCATATGTAACTTAAATATATTACCCAAGAAAATATATAAAGTTACCACTCTCATATATATATGTACTCATTTTATTAAGGTTTACATATGCTTGCTTGCGTGCATTAAACAAAGAGACTGTCTCAAAGTATTTAAATTTTTTCTACAAATTTTTATCAGACTTTATAAATTTTACTATGAAAAATTTAAGAACCATACAATATATAATTTTAAAATTAGTAAAATTTCATTAATTCAAATAAGATCTTATTCGAATTCAACGGTTATACATGTTAAAATTTGGTCACCGTTAACATATGTACTTCTACCGTTGATTTTTTTTTTACAACCAGAATGTTACAAAGGCACCAGCAAAAGAAAACAAAAAGCCTCTCGAGTTCAAGCTTCATTCTGGCGACAGAGCAGTGAAACGTGCAATGTTCAACTATTCGGTTTACACAAACTTCCTCCATATTTCTTAATTTATCATTAATTTTATTCAACTTCCATGGAGCTCATGATTCATCATCTTGGCAGGTTGCAACTAATTATTATATCACGAAACTTCAGAAAAAACAAGAAGAGAGGTTGCAAAAGGTAAATTACAAAACCGACACACACCGTAGTCTGGTTGGTCTTGATCTCTCTTTGGCAGTTGGGCTGTAAATCTACGACGATTAAACATAACTAGAACCTCTCTATTTATATAAATCATGCTAGTCTAAAATTGAACATTTCACTCCAATGACACTAAGACCATAAGTAGATATATAACGGAAACTGCTTTAACTAAAACAGTGAGAGATTTTTTGAATTTGGTTTACCTTAGTTTGAGAAGAATTCTCAAAGTTAAGCCGCGTTATTAAATCAAACCATATGTAACAGATGATAGAAGAGGAAGAGATTCGTATGTTGAGGAAGGAAATGGTTCCAAAAGCTCAATTGATGCCTTTCTTCGACCGACCTTTTCTCCCACAGAGGTCAGTTTTATCATCAAACAGTAATTATTGTTTTCGAATTTATTTTTGCTTTATAGAATAATGTTGTTTTGTATAATTAGTACATATTACAAAATTCCAATTTTATTTCTAATTTATTCAGTTAATATAATATGATTGTTATGGTTATCAACTATTTAATCATAATTTATTTTATTTTGATATAAATATTTGGGTGTAGATCGAGCAGACCATTGACGATGCCAAAGGAACCAAGCTTTGGAAACGTAAACAGCACTTGTTGGACTTGTGTTTTCAACAACCAACACTATCTTTACCATATTAACCATGCTCATGCTTAAAATCTCAAGTCACTAGCTCAATTAGAGGCTTTTTCTAATTTTCATTTGAAAATTTTCTTTTCCAGTTTACTTTTATTTTTGTTCTTTGGCAGCTTTTATAATTCTTCCTTAATTTCCCATCTTCTATTTTCAGCTTTAATCTCTTGTAATTTGTTTTGTAGATTAAATAAACGAGCAAATCACGATTTGAAGTAATATTTTTTTTGTTAAAGATTTGAAGTAATATTGACGACAAAAGACAAACTAATATTAATTTCATGAATATGTAGACAATATATACAAGTCAGTCAGACTCATTTGTTACGTGTAAAAGTGTTAACAGAGTTTGGGAAAATATCAGCACAAGATGAAGCCTAGATCTAGGAGCCATAGAAATTTTCGCCAAATGCGGAATCATACATTTTAGGTAATTATCGAAAGATTGGAAAGTGATGTGATTTCTAATGAGTCTGGCGATTGTGGTCACAAGAAATCCAACTTTGATATTATTATAGATTTGCTTTGCATACATGCGAAGAAGCCTCTTATTTGAACATTTAGAAAGTACTCAAAAATTGAGCAGGACTGATAGAATAATAATTAGTTGATGAGGTAGCCTCGAATTCAACTTGTAAGGACAGAGTATCATTCACGATGAAACCTTTGGCTGGATTTTGGAGATCAGTGAAAGACACGAACTGGTCGAAACCCGCACTTTCTCCCGTGGTATTGAACCATGTCAGAACTGCCAAGAACAAAAGAATATATATTGTTTGTTACATTAATACTGAAGTTTTTTTTAATTAAAATCATAATCATATAAGCTTTAGACACATTACTTGGTTTTTCGAGATGTTTCGATTGTTTTTGGTCCAGAACACGCAGCTTCGCTCGGACATAAACCTTTTCATAAGGTTTCAAGGTTTGGCTTCCACTTAGTATCACATAAAGAGACAATGAGTTTCCTTCTCCAGTACCATTACCGTTTGGATACACCTTAAGTGCCCTGAATAAATTAAGAATTTATAATAAGAAATTGAATTAGTAAATGTTTATTGATTTATGCGTATCATGGACTCACCATTTTTTTCCTCCGATGGAGAATTCATCCGACATGTAAAAGTCTTTGATCAATGTTGAGAATTTCTTAAGCTTCCATGACTTAGGCCCATAAACCGTTTTATCGATCGACAAAACTTCCCATTTGTTAAAGTAAGGATAAACCGAGATGTCTACACCAAATACACATTGGTCATTGTCGAAAATGTACTCTTTATCTTTAGCATTAAAATCAAAATGTCGGATAAAATTTGGAGTCCCCCAAGTTGTTCTGAATTGATGGAAACGCCTCATCTCTGTGTCTGCATATATATAAAATTGGCATATCTTTGAAGAAGTTGATCAAAATAATTCTTTATATTTTTTTTTCTAAAGAAATAATTCTTTATATTGAAATGGGATTCTGTTTAACATAACATACCTATAGATGTCAAGTACTGATCGTAAGCCTTGCTATACACCAAAAACTTGAGATCTGCATAAACCTCGCGATTTTCGCCAACTAGACCTGAAGGATCTATTGTAACATATGCAGAGATCCAAGTCCCTAAATTTGTCTTGTTCCCGGACGGTTGGAGGAAAAAAGTCCTATAAATGATTTCCCGTATAAGCAAAATACATTACAGAATGTAGAGTTAAAAATTATGCATTATAAGAAGTTTAATTTTAATTTTATACCAGTTGAATCCGCCCACACTGAATGGTCGTGTCTCGTACTTTTCCACGCTCGGAGAAGTAGTCAGCAGTTCGCTGCACGCCTCAATCCGCACGCAATAAGCGTTTGGTGGACGGGGTCGCATAAATCGTTGTTCCACCGATAGCTTAGTGTCTCCACCATTAATCACTGCGGCCCTTGAACCGTGAGTGTTACAAGGCACTTGATTATTTTTTTCTCTTGTAGTTATTGGATTTAGTTGAATGGTTGCAAAGACAGCACAAAAGAAGGTAGAGAACATCAAGATCACTCCATTCAAATTGACCTTTCTTTTCGTGTTTAGAAACATTTTTATTGTAACTTTTTTTCTATATTTGTGTCTCTTTTGTGGTGTTGCTAGAGAGGTGTTACATTCCAAATTTATAGGTCTATGCGGGTCCCTCGTTTGTTACCTTCTTGTTTAAAAAAATGATTTGCTAGAAAATCTAAAATATCAATAAGTTTATTTATAATCACCACAATATTTTCCAGATTTCAACTATTATTTGAATTTTAATTATAAAATGATATTTTCAAAAGTTTCCTCATTATTATTTCTTATATTTTTTGTATCAAAATTTTTTTTAACATTATTTACGAAAATGCCATCTTGCTTCTTGTATTTGTATGCCAATATTGATAATCTGTCAAGTTTAAACAAAATCTTGAAAGTGTCATATAACTTTATTTACAAGTAGATTTGTATTTGCATATGTAATATCCATTTATGAGATTTTTTTTGCTAAAAGCACAAAAATAATAAATGTTTTCTCATTTATAAAAATTTAACATATTAAAAAATATTGCACAATTCAAAAAGTCATAAACTATTAGATTAATATAAATTGTGCATAATCTTGAGAAAAAATAATAAAATAGAACACAAAAACGCTTAAAACATCCTATATATATAGTAGGACAAAAGAAGTATTAACAAGCTAGAGTTATATTTCAAAGATGATTTATTTTGGCAGACTTATTTTATCTGTAAACTTTTTTACAATAGACTTTGATGTGTGTCAAATTTTTAATCACAATTAATAACTGTAAGTGCAAATCAATCACAATAACTGAACTTAGACTTGGCTAGCCTTTGTTCCTACATGACTTAATGATGCATTGGTAATGGGGAATGATCGGATGCGGAAGTCCTTTAACCGAGTCAAATAGAATGAACCTGTAATTTGTCTAGTGACTTGAATATTTCCACATGCATGTGATTGTTGGTTGTCAATTTGTTTGCTTGTTGCATTCTTATTTTGGTTTGGTGGGATTATATTGAACCTTCTAATTTATTTATTTATTTTGATAATTTAGGTCTCATACATTTTCCAGAACCGAGACCAACCTTCGATAAATTATTCCTTCTAGCGGAAATGGAACCGTATCCTCCTGCGTACCTATATTTCCAGTTAATCTGGATTCGACCTCTACCTCATCTCTAGGTTACTATCCACTTTTTCATTACTAGGAAGTCTAGAACGAACTTTAGTCAACTAAAGCTTTTTTGTGCAATAGAGCAAAATCACCTTTTTACGAACTACCAATACATGTCCTTCTCTTGCCTATCATTATCAACGGATAAATATTTTGGATTAGCAAAATTATTCATGACAAATAAGTGAGAAACGTGTATCATGCAGACAACCCATACTGATTGATTAGTGCTATCCATCTGACTTTCTCATGATAGAGCATCGAGATCTGCATAGTGAAATAAATGAAAGACACTTATTATTGTAGACCAAACTTACAGAAAGCTAAAAATTATATTAAAAAATCTTTACTAGTGAATAAAAAAAGGAATAGTGCCTAGTGCATACTAGCAAAATAGTAAATATTTCGATATTCATGTTTTCATATTGAAAAAACAGAAAATAAATTGTGCATATTATATTTATAACGACGTGTAGGCCCTAAATGGTAACACATTTTTGAGGAATTATTGAGAAGAAAAAAATGGTTACATCAGTTGAATGTTCGAGAAATTGTTGAGGAATACTGTTTCAAGAGAAGGATTAGGAAAGTGGTCTCACCACAGTCAGCTTTTCATTTGGTTTGGGGTTTGGACGAGACTTTATTTCTTTGAGATAAGTAATCTATGTTTTTACCAAAACAAAATGTTAATGAATTATGTGACTGTTATATTTTAGATTTTCCATATATATTTAAGAATAATATATTTTGAAGTTGTAAGATTTTTAAGCTTTTCATATTTTTATGTTGTTTAAGAAATATTTACAATTTTCGTAAGTTTTTTGTTAGTTTGTGTGGTAATTATGATTAAAAAAAAAAAAACTTGCATTAGTTTTCTTGACAAAAAAAATTGCAGAAATTGCAAACGTTAACAAATTTCTTCAAAAATTTATCCTTACTAGGTGAATACCCGTGCTACGCACGGGTTTGTTTATTAAAGTAATTATAAATTTATTCGTTACAGCTAAAAATTATCATGAAGTCATCAATTTGAAGGATTGTACTATGCAACTATTTAATTTGATTAGGAAGATTTTTTTCTAACTTCGCTTACTCTTTAATTTACTTAAAATAAGCAACTTCTATTTCTCTTAGCTTTTCATTTCTTGAGAAGAACTCTAGAGTTTAGTTTTTTTACAACATAATTTAGTATTGAATTGTTGTCAAATCCTCATATCATAAGAAGACTCATTTCCTCTTTACCTCTGCGCTTTCTTGAACTAACATTCTACAGTTGTTATTTTTTCTCAACTAATCTTTCAAACGACAGCGAAAATTCCCCTTCTCTTCTAAATATATAAAACTTTCTTTCTCCACCATCGTTCTTTGGCTCCTCTTTTTTTATCCTACAAGCTTGTTTACATACAAACGTCTGAGATAGAATAAGCGACGTATTAATTATCATCGTTCCGATGGAAAACGTGGACAAGAGTTGAGAAACATGCATTACCAAATCATATATAATATCTAGAAAGCAATTATAATATCACATCATTCAACATGAGCCCATTCATCAAAATTAAAACACGTAATTCACCTGGACCCTGCAATAACAAAGAAAAATATTTAGAGCGAGTAGATAAAACAATTATGCACATTACTTCACCTGACCAAGTAAAAAAAAGTCTATTTCACATGACGATTCAAATATTTTTATAAATGAACTATCATCCCCGTGGAAAGAGAACGGCTGGAAAGTCGAGTTAAATATCCAAAATATTCATGTAGAAAATATCGGCAGAAGCAAAAATTCATAATCTCCTATCCTCACAATTATTCCATCGTGTATGCGTGTTCAGAATCATGTTCCACAAAGATTTTGCCTCGTCAGCCCTTTCGCCCTTTAATTTTGTCCATATCAAATGCTAATAAGAGGGTATTGTATGTTCCCATTGTAGCGCCTTGCTCTTTGCTTAACATCCATTTAGCTACCTATATTTGTCACTTAACTTATCAACTCATGACGTCATATTTAGCAAAACTTACACTCGAAATAAGAAGTTATGTTACTTTACTTGAATCACACGATGCCACTGGCTTGAGTTAAAGATTTGCAAAACCTTAGCTGAAAAATAATGGGAAAATATGCCGTCCAACCTACCAATTTGTTTCAAAGGTCCATAAACAGCCTCTTTTCATTTGGGAGTCCATAGAGCTGCCAGTTGAGAGTTATACATATCAGCATGGCCTATTTGATCATCGTTTCAGTCACGAAAAACATATTTTGTAACATGATTTTCCTCACTTATCATTCGGACAAGATTAGGTGCTTTCTGAGACCCAGCAGAGTAGAGTCATTCTTCTTCCGCAAATGTTGCTTTTTCTTCCCCACCTTTTTTATTTCCTTCCCAATGAATCACTCGGAACAAACAAAGTCAAAGACTACTCAAGAAAGAGATGGAACCAAACATAATTTCCAACATATATCACTTGTAATGTAACAAACAAACCTCTCCATAACCTCTGTTTAATTTTCCGGCTTGCTTCTCTGAAAACTTGAAAACAATTCCACCGTAACGACATGTTTTGATTCACTTCACATGAATCATAAGCAACCAAGTTTAAAAGCTAAAGAACAAACATAGGTAGATTCTAACAAAACAAAAAATAGCCACGCTAAACAGGAAAAAAGTAATTACAAGAACATATTACCTTTGCCCTGATGCAAACACCAAACATTATAGCCTTCAACGTGGAGTAACTTCCACAACTTGCAAACTCAAGCAACGAAAAGCATACAAATTCCTTGAATTTCTGAGATTTGAAGAATTCTCATCATAAAAACATAAACAATCTCAAGTAGAATTTTACAGTATGAATTTTTGTCCTAGGAGTAAATTCCCTGGTAACACAACAACTTGTTGATAAATGAAAGTAATAATAAGAGATTATAGCCAATATGAGAAGAAAAGGGAAACTATATACCTGGAGTTGACCACTGGATATTTTGATGCCTTGCTGCACCATCCAGGCCCTACGATAACAAAATTAAGAACATTAGAGAGATGTGGAATGATCCCAAATACAGAAAATGTTTATATATTAGAAAGAAGTGACAAATTTAGAAACCTGGACCCTTTGCGCAATAAACTCAAGTAGAGACTTAGATTCTACGGTAGGAAAACCGTTATCTTGCTCACTTTGTTATGCATAATTGACAAAATTGGGGTAAGGGATTTCCAACAAGTAAACAACCTATAGATTTCATAACAGTCGATGATTGTTGTTAGAAAGAAGAGACCCCTTCGTATCAGGGATTCGTAGAGGGTAGGGTTTGGATACATTTTTTTTTTTGTCTGTGGAATTACTTATTAAGGAGTGGTTATTGTTTAGCAAAAATTCTTTCGATTCAACTTCGAGATCCAAAATTGATGGCTATAACGTTTTAACCATTTAATACAGAAGAAGATGAAGTGGCTCTTCACGTGTCCACGTGTCAGTCTCTTGTATGCTGACGTGTCATTCATATGGAGAGAGTTAGTCTCCTTTTATATATATATGATTTTTACAAGTTGCAAACGTTATCGTTAAATTATGTTTGATAAAAAAAATTCAATATATCAAATTTAGGATTTAATATTTTTATTAGTTGGTTTAATTAACCTTCTTGACAAAAAAAAAAAGAATTTAGTTAGTATTTTCAAAAATTTATTTAATAAGGTATTTAAAAAAATTCAGCCAGATTCAGCCGTTACCATTTACATATTCAATTATTCAGCCAGATTCAGCTAAAAATCACCATAAAATTCAGCCAGATTCAGCCGAATTCAGCGGTTACCATTTACACAATTTTAAAATTTGCTGATTAGTGTTTTTTATTCGGAAATTGTGTTATTCGTCTGATTTTGTCCCATTAGGCCATTATTTGGTGATAGAGCATCGAGATCTGCATGGAGTTTGCAATTACCTGATTGTTTAGATTTTTTATTTAAATAATCTTACATTATAGCTTTGATTCTATGAGCTAATTTGTTCAATAGTTATGTGGTCTGGACTATCAAAATATGATATTTATGTGGGTCTTATTAGGTGAATGGTCATGTCATGCATGTTGGTGACCGATTATGTTGAAATTATACGGCGGGAAAGCTATAAAAAACGGGAAATAATAAGGTTAGATCGGTAATAATAAGATGCAAATAATTTTTTTAGAAACTAGCAGCGTTACAAATCGTAAATTATAAAATGAAAATAAGAAAAAACATTAATTAATCTCTATGCCTATAAATTATGTGAATCATCAACCGTCATTTCAACTCAACATAAAAAATCATGTTTGATCGGTTCACATATTTTCCTAATTCAACTTTCATTGGCTAGAGACGAATTATTGTTTATCTAGGTTGTTTCCAGACATTCTAGCATGCACTTTTTTGTAATGGTTTTATAGCATACAGTTTTAGTATGTTAAAATCCCTAAGATCCACAACTATGTAGTGAATCAAGTTCTAGCAATAAAAGCAACTGTTAATGCATGATATCACACAAGTACGGATTCTCAAGAGAAATAAGAAGAATCTCTATTTTATAGGCGAGCCCGAACTTATGCGAAATGGGTTGGTTACAAAGAGTTATCTCGTCCAAATAGCTAATTAGGGCTGAAGCCGAACTCAAATTTAACTAAGACGAACTGAGAAGCTTGAAAACGAGCTGAGACGTACTTTCTTCGTGTCAGCGTCAATTGTGGATCCCTGATAATATTTTCTATTTCGGTATTTATAGGGTCTCATGGTCGGTCCCGTCTCCTGTGAATTTCCGAGAATGCCCCTCTTGACCTGAATACGTGGCTTCGTCGTTGGGCCATTTCTCGATATGGGCCTTAATTCGAATCAAGCACGTTCTCGTCCATGAACTATTTTGGATTGGGATTTTTCCGAAGCCCATTTGGATGGGAGTAGATCCATCCCCTCACAGCAACCTAGATTAAAAAAGAAAGAAAAATAAACAGAGTTATAAATCCGTAGTAAACATCCTAACTCATTCAATTCCTAAGCCCTTCAAAAACCCATAACTCAGTTGAAGAACTACTCACACATAACAAACATCAAAGCATTAGAAGAAACCATGGAAAACATTATTACATTGACAAAGGTAGATAAGAGGTTCGAAAATTTCTCCAAAGTGCTGTAATTTTGTGAGATCTCCTCCCTAAAGTTCTTAGTTGCAAAAACTAGGTTTGAACTCAAAAAAATAAAAGTTAGCCTAACTATATAGAAGAAACAGAGGTTTTGAAAAAAGAAATTGCATTTGGGACAACCCGGATAACTTAGTCGAATTGAGGCAGTACCTGTTTTGGCCAAAGGATGGCATGCCAATACCCTTGTCGTGGTACACTTTGTCTTGCATAATACAAGTGGTGCATGTCTGGTACTCGGTCACATTAAGAGGCAAGCCAACCGGCATCCTTTCCTACTAAGAGTAGCCTGATGCTCCAAAATCCGTATCTTCAACATTTTTTTCGTGTTGGCTCTTTTTTTTTTTTTAATACCAGGAGTTTCTGGGCCAAAGCCCGTAATCCCTCCAGGCCCAAAACCACAGCATGTAATATTAGTTTCGTCCCAAGCATCACTCGAACCAGCAACCTCTAAGCTTCGCCTAGGGTCTTTACCAGTTGAGCTAACGACAGTTGGTGTTGGCTCTTTTTTGCTCCAAACTCCATCTGAAAGCTCCAATTTTCCACAAAATAACATGTAACCTAGATAAGACTAGATAGAAGACAAAATGACACCAACAAATTGACCAGCAGAAATGACAAAAATCGTGGAAAACACAATAACTCCCCCTCACTTAGACTTTTGCTTGTCTAGAAGCAACAAATATCTTTATGAACATGTACTTTTTCATAACCATCGCAAGTCTACCATGAACTCTAAATCTCGGGAACTAGATAAACTTTCATAATAAATCAAGTGTGCAGTCTCACCGAGTTAATATCGATTATGAAACAACCTAAACTAAATGAAGAAGGGCTTATAAAGTATTTCGGACTTCCAGAGAAACTAAGTGAAAACATTATGTGAAACCGCAAGAGAAACTATATCAACTAGTAAATTACACAGCCTGCAAATCCAATTAACTAATCAAATCACCAAACCAGTAAATTCCTTCCAAAAATTGTGCTTCATTGAGCTCTTTTGCATAAGCATACACAATATGATAATAAGGAGAATACATGTGGTTAGAAAAAAGAAGGGTTGGAGAATACATGTGATACCAAAACAAAGTTTATTGTGCCATAAAGTGTTTAAAGTATGAGAAGACTATTTTCTAATAACCTCAAATACATTGATGTCAACAAAAAAATGTATATAACCTCAAAATACGTTTATAATTAAACTAGTATAGATAGAAAAAGAATGACAGATTTAGGAGTTACATCTCCACATGTCTTTGTGTTTGGACAGTGTCAATTGTTTACATGTACGAGTTTTTAAAGAGCAATATAAGTCTGGGAAGGTTCTCAAGAGCCACTGTGAAGAGGCCACCAAGAATAAACATCAAAACAAATGCAAAAAATATTCTTCCAATGTATTTTAGACTTTGATCTCCAATTTCTGGTCTTGAATCCTTTGTGTACTTTGAATCTTTGGAACCCTGCAAAAGCAAACCGCAAAAATCCGATTGTAAAGAATGGCTCCAGGGAAATCACATAAGAAAAGCAAAAGGATATGAAACCAACACAAGCTTCTAATAGAAACGAGCTGGGAAACGTTCTGTGAGACTAAAAGATATATTCTCAGTGAAAGAAGAAGCTTATTGTCAATTTACTATCAGTTTATGATTCTAGCTCTCTTCACTCTACTTGAGCTTTGACATTGAATAGTATTCCCAGTAGAAGTTGGAAACAAAGGGTAATCACGACGGCATAAAGTATAAAGAAATTCCTAACACCATCTTGCTATGAAGTTACTAACAAAGTCAAGCTAATTACCATTGATATTACAGAAGGAAAGTGCTGTTGTAGATTGTTTTTCTCAGTTCCTGCATCAAAAAAAAAAAAAAAAGGAAACAACATTATTAACAAAATGTGAACAAGTCCAGATTATGTATGAATCCATAAGATTATTGTAACTCCATCACTAAACTAAACTTCATATGGCACCAATCACGATTCTGTAACCGAAAGTTTTTTTTTTTGATAACTCAGGTGATACTAAAGGCTTTCTAGGCGCAAAGACTAATATAGCATGAGAAGCATTTGAGCACATATAGCTTCACTTTTTCTAGTTAACCAAAACATGTTGTCGAATCTAAATCATGAAATTGAATAGAAGTAAAATTACCAGGAAAATCAGAATCAACGACTGTCTTCAACTTCCAACCAAGTCCGTAATTGACAAGACAAGCATCATCACCAAAACTGATAGGTTCTTCACCATCCTTTGCTGCTTCAATGAACACTACTCTAGGTTTTAACGAACCAAGTTTCTTGTTGATCACAGAGACAGCAAATTTCGCCTTTGTCCCAGTTGTGAATCGGTATTCCTTACCAGAAACTTCACAAAAAACTTCCAGAAACTACGATTCCGAAAATCCAAACAATGATTTTAGCTAATACAACCGTTGAAATCCTAAAAGATTAAAGAGTTAAAGGAAACTTACGAGCGGTGGCTCAGAAGGAGAAGCTTCGAGTGAGGTATTGTTCGCCATTGGGCAGAGTTTGATTGCGAGAGAAGATCGGGGCGATTCAAAGCGTCGACGATCGGGTAAGAGAGAAGAAAGATTTGGAATTTGGAAGATGATAATGAGTCAACTTAGATCCTTAAACCGATCTAAACCGGTTTGGTGAAGCATATAACACGGTAAGGCCTGGGCATTCGGGTACCCGTACCAGATTGGTTCTTTTTTTTGGGTTTCGGGTCTATTCGGATACGAGGATCGAGACCCATTCGGGTATTCTAAAAATTTGGTTCGGATTCGGGTCGGTTCGGGAATTTTAATAAAAAGGCAAAATACCCGAAAATAACCAAAAAATACCCGAAATATTTTTGGATTCGGGTCGGGCTCGGGTTTTTTACTCATATATACCAAAATCTAACCGAAATACCCGATTTTTGAAAATACATCGGTTACTTTTTACCTAAATATAACCAAAAATATCTAAAAATACTAAAATTATCCACATGTATATTTGTATTCGGATACCCACGGATATTGGATTCGGTTCGGGTTCGGTTCGGGTTTTTTCGGGTAGAGAGGTCTAGGAAGCATTCGGGTATTTTTAAAAATCGGTTCGGGTTCGGTTCGGGTTCGGTTCGGGTATTCGGTTCCGGGTATTTTGCCCAGGCCTAGTTGACCCCAAAAAAGAAAACTAATTTCATTTTAAATCTACTATAGTAAAATTTTCTGGAAAATAGTTTATGAATTCGATTTTCTACACCTGAGATCATTTAATATGAGAGCTGGGAATTTCCGGTTCACCGGAATTCTTCTTCCGGCAAAACCCGGTTTTTTGTTATGTTTATAGCTTTCGACTTTAGTCTGATCTCTCTTTCCGATTTGTCGGATTTTAATAACCTTCGGCTTAGTTTGGTACGTTTACCGACTAATATCCGATTGTTTTTTTGTTTTTTCTCTCCTCTTTCTACAAGAATTTCAATCTAAATCCCGTTGGCTGTCGTTTGGTTTCTCTTTTGCTCAATCATCGGCTTGACTCTTCTCAAGAGATGGAGTAATATCTTTGCCGTTATGTCTTCGTCGTTTTGCGAAGCAGACCTCAATTTGGGTCTTAGGTGGAGCTTCCTTCATTGAGTTTGGGTTGAGAGAAAGAAGATCTGGAAGGAATCTAAGATTGGTAGCAGCGAAATCAAATCGGATTAGCAGCGGAGGATCTGTAGAAGGAGTTAGTGGTGCTGGTTTGCGGAAGTCCGACGGCGGAGCTGTTGTCGATCGTGGATCTGGCCGGCGACGACATGTCACTTTCTCCCCTTCTCACGTGTTCAACCCTAGATACGTGGTACTTTTTATTTTACCCTTATCATTATATTGGGTTAGGGTAACTATTGTAAGCTTAATTAAAGTTACAAATGTTGGGGGATTTGGGCTTCAACCCACCACTTGTAAGCCTAAGTTTGGGTTTTCCTTTTAATGGAAAAATAGTTGGCCGACAAAAAAAAAACGAACATTTAATATTTTTCTTAATCCCTTGATGCTTAGTTTTTATAAAGATGTTGTCCGTCCTAAAAATAAAATGGTCTAGTCACTAATGACTTAGTATGCTCAGCTCCGCAACATCCATTATAAAGATATTAAACGAACATCTTTTTTTTTTCTTCCGCACTTATACGGACTATAATTTATAAATGATATATAAAATACAATCCAATCCACAAACAGATTTGTCCAAACGGGATAGGTAAAAATATCATGATGGATTCATTGTATATATATTTGGGGTCTCCAAACTGAAAACCGAATGGGCCCCAAACTACTAACCTAACTTTTTACCAGTAACTTGTAAAATAGTATTTTTCATGTTAAACTCCATCATATCAATAATACTATCTAGAGTAAACTAACACATTATTGATTATTCTTTGAAACATTGACGAAAACTAAGATTTAGTCCACAATAATTAACTACAGAACTAACCTTCAACAAAAGAATCAACTGAAAGTTCTTATTCCTTGAAAATTCAATGGTCAAAAGTTTCCATTTCTAAGACCAACACAGCTTGCAAATTAGACCTAATAAAACCTTCCTCATTCTCTCTTTTCCCCTAATTTTGACCAACAAATATTGACTTAGAAAAAAAAAAACCATTACATATAAATAAAATCTCATCCCAACCAAAAATCTTTAAACCCACGACAGTAAACAAAAAAGAAATCTTTATTTTTGTTAAACAAGAGATGGGTTTTTTATGGAGAACGAGACTACGTGGAGCTAACGAGAAGAAGATAACTCCGGTAATAAGCTGGCCGGAATCAGAACCGGAGTCAGAGATAACAATTCCACCGGAATTTCAATGTCCGATCTCAATCGATCTAATGAAAGATCCGGTAATAATCTCAACAGGCATTACTTACGACCGCGAAAGCATCGAAACGTGGATCAGTTCCGGCAACAAAACATGTCCAGTCACGAACACTGTCTTAACCACGTTCGATCAAATCCCTAACCACACGATTCGTAAGATGATTCAAGGATGGTGCGTGGAGAAAGGATCGCCGTTGATTCAACGTATTCCGACGCCACGTGTCCCTTTAATGCCATGTGAGGTCTACGAGATTAGTAGGAAACTATCGTCTGCGACGCGGCGTGGGGATTTCGAGAAGTGTGGGGAGATTATTGCAAAGATTAAGAAATTAGGGGACGAGAGTGAGAAAAATCGGAAGTGTGTTAACGAAAACGGCGTCGGATTGGTTCTTTGTGATTGTTTCGAGAAGTTCTCGGGAGATGAGAAATTAACGTTTATGTTGAAGGAGATTTTGTCTCTGCTGACGTGGATGGTTCCGATTGGGTCAGAGGGTATTTTGAAACTTGCTTCTCCGTCGTCGTTTCGTTGCGTCGCGGGTTTGTTGAAGAGTACAGACGATTCCGCTCGTCAAAACGCTGCGTTTTTGACGAATGAAATTCTCTCATTAGACGAAACGCAAGTTTACGCGTTTGCGTTTGAGAACGCTATCGCGGAAGCGTTAGTGAAGTTAATTCGCGATTCGGTTTCGTCTAGCGCAACAAATTCTTCGTTGATAACGATTTATCAAATGGTGTTGCAAAAGCCTGAAATCGCGTCGGAGTTTCTCGAATCGGTCTAGTGAATCTAACGGTGGAGATGATAGTTGATGCTGAGAATAGCGTTTGTGAAAAAGCGTTAGCGGTTCTAGACGCGATTTGCGAAACCGAGAAAGGGAGAGAGGAAGTGAGGAAAAACGAGTTGGTGATGCCGCTTTTGGTGAAGAAGATACCGAAGGTTTCTGAATCAGCGACTAGGAGCTCAATGTCAGTGATTTTGAAATTGTGTAAAACAGAAAACGCGTTTGCGGTTGAAGAAGCGGTCCGTTTGGGTGCATTTCAAAAGGTGTTGCTTGTGTTACAAGTTGTGTATGGAGAAGAGACTAAGGAGAAAGCGACTGAGTTGTTGAAGATGATGAATACACAAATGAAATTGATGAATGGTTGTGTTGATTCTTTAAAGGAGTTTAAGTATATCAAGAAGCCATTTTGATGTTTTAGGATAGAGAGAAATTCAAAAGTAGATAAAAAAAATTGATAAAAGTTTAGAAAAAGTAGATAAAATTGATGTGTGATGATAGACTTTGTTAATTCTTTAGTGGTTTCAAGTATCTCAATATCCATTTGTGTTAAAATTATGGATTCTTAATTATCGTGGCGATAATTACTCTATTTTTCACTTCCGAATCAGATATAGGATCATCTCTATGAATCTTTCACTTCTTCTTCCATACGTCGAAAAGTACTCGGAATAGTCATAAATTTGTGTAATGTGTTTCATCAATAAAAATCAGGGATTGTGACCAAAACCATAAACTATCAAATAAAGTAAACAAAATGAATAAGTATATTAATCTCAGGGACATTTACGTTTTGGCACACTTTATTCAACTTTGTGATCAAAATAGACATTTTATAAATGTTTCAATGTTTTTTCACTGTTGAAAAAATATCAATACTATATTGCCCCTGAGAAAGAAGTTTGAGTGTAACCAAATAAGTACATACATAGCATAACCCTTATTTTTTTCCTCCTTCCTTGTCGCTTCTATTTCTCTTAACTTTATACCGTAATCAATAGACCTTTAACCCATGAACTCTAAACCGTAGACATAAACCCTAAACACTAAACACTTTTAACGATTTAAATAATCTATCCACGTGGAAGTGACCATGAGAGTAGAAAAATACTCAGTCAAACACTAAAATAGGAAATAAAAAACTGTTCATATGAACCTTACCATGAGAGTGGGAAAAATTAAACAGGGCTATAACCAAATATCAAAATATTAACATGGTACATATGGAACTAACCATTTGACATCAAATAGGATTATGTGAGTGACGATCTTAGAAGTAAAAGCATGAACTACCCAGTCAACTTAAACCAACAATGTGTGTAAACACTCCGTCCACATGGACCTGACCAGCAATTGAGTCGTTAAGATCAAGGAATTTCATGTTGTGTAAGAAACTATAGAACGATGTGGAGAAAGAAAAAAATTGAACAATGGTGAACAAATTATTATGTTCATAAAAATTTGTCTAGTTGGATGAGCTTGCATGTATGGTTGGTTACAAAAACATAGTTTGTATGTTCGGGGACATTGTATATAAATTCTTTGAATATATTAATTTTAACCATGTGTTCAGTGTTAGATGGTCAGAAGAAAAAAAAATCTAATAGTAAACCTGAACAATAGACACTTGATCAGAGTTTGACACATGTATAGTCCACCGAGAAACTTTATCCTTATTCATCTATGTGGTTAGAGTTTAGCGGATATGCTTGGATAATCGGTAGTTAGAAATGTTTGTGTATTAATTAGGTTTGATGTGAGCAATAAAACGATTTTTTTGTTCAAGTATCCGTGGACATGATCTGGTGGATGGGGTTGATCTGGATCTAAATTAATGTTTGAGATATGTTAATGAATCTAATTGCATTCATTAATTTTGTATTGACCACTAGATTTTTAAAGTATAAAAAATAAATAAACGTTTTAAATTGATAGTGGTGTTTATTTACAAACGAACAATTGGTCAAAGAAATTTGATGATGATGTGAAATTAGTGATTATCTAATAGTTTGAAAAATTAGGCATCTACATAGGTTTTTTTATATAATTAGCTACAAATAAATATCTATATACCAAATAACAATTGACCATCCATTTAATAACAAACAAATGTTCAATGACAAATGGATAATATGAAATATAAATATTCATCTAAAATATAGTAAAACTAGATATTAACCCGCGGTACACCGCGGGCCTATATTTTTGTTAAATAAATTTTTGTATTTTTTATTTTAAGGCTTTTCTTTTACATATATGATTTTATTTTTTTGATTTAAATATATATATATATATATATATATATATATTGGATAAAATAGATAAATTTTATATTTTCATTAACTGAAGCTACTCAATTTTTCTTCATGTTTTAAATAATTTACTAAAAAAAATATTATATTGGATAAAATATAAATTTTTAGATTTGTTTAGTTTTATAGAATAATATAAAGATATTTATAATTTTATTTGATGTGATCATTTTCAGTCAAGGTTTAGACCCGTAGATTAATACTTTTTTAACATATAGTATTGTTATATTTAATTTAATACTGTGCATATATTAAAATACTAAATCGGTATTTACACAAATTTAGTTTTGTTATCGCAAGTTGGTAACATCGTTGATAAATATTAATCATAGGATTAAATTTGATTTAGTCAATATTCGAATAACTTGTATGTAACTTCATAAATCTATATATTTAACATGACACATCATTTTTAGTCAACCTAACACGTATCATATGTCGAGGTTAAATTCTTAGAAGTAAAAATACAAATAGTATAATAAAACAATACAATGTTCTTTTATTTATTATCTATCTTTTTTTCTATCCATTCTTGACTTCAGTTACTCTAATGTTTTTAAAAACTTGGAAGATGAGAACAAATCAAAAGAGGAAGATTCTACATATTTTTCTTCTCCTGCAAGAAATTAAAGAAATTTTATCAAAGATCTTAGATATTATATTTGTTAAAATCAAAATCAGAAAGAAAATCATACATAGAAACATTAAACATGAAAATAAAAAAAAACATATATGATGCAAATAATAATAAAACTTCAACCTTATAAAAATCGTAATTATTAAAATCGTTTATAAGATTTTTTAAAAATAACAAAATTCATTATTCTTCGCACCTCCCACAAACAAATTGGGAAAAAAATCATGTCAACGTTTAAAAATAAATAAATTGGACTTTAAAAAAACATATCTAATGATAAACCACAAACCTTTGATTTTATAAAATATAATTAGAAATCTAAATTCTTCTAAAATTATGTTCTAAAAACAACAGAAAAATTAATGAAAATTTTAACAATAAAAATGAATTTTTTTTATCAAACTTTAGAGGTTTAACTCGCTCGCTCTAACGCATCACCTCGATGTTCATGATGAAGATGATAGTCTTTTTTAGTTTAGCTCGTTAAGAAATCTGTAGCACAATTAAAAAAAAAAGAGATTAGCAAAATTTTAGTAAAACTTAGTTATGAGATTATTTACATATGATGAATTTAAAACCCAGTTTGACCATAATCAAAAACGAAAAATACATACTTTTCGATGCCCTGATCCCACTCTTAGTTGCCATGAATGGCCGGTTACAATTGAACTGCAAAAAATAATACGAAATATATATTAGTGATACATATTGTGAAGAAATCTAGAATTTAGAGAATTAAAAAGAAGAAAAAAAAAACAAAAAAATGTTTAGCTAGAGAAAGAAACAACAAAGAAAGAACAAAGAAAGAGAAATCATCCAAGTTTTGTGTTTGGTGATGGTAAATGGAGTTTAGGTGTTTAGTATTTATAGGAAAACTAATTAGGTTGCGCTAATTCATAGAAATCTTCGGAAAAAAAAAATAATAACTGCCGCAAGATATTAGGGAGTAAATCTTTTATATTGTTAATTGGAATATGCTAGGATTATGCGTTTATTTGAGTATTTAATATATTTCTATAATTCGTTGGAGATTTAAATATTAACTAACCCTAATTGTGTCGTTAAAGATAATATGTTGAGATTTTGGCAAGTTTGTTAAACGTGTAATTTTTAATTCAAATAATTAATGCTAATTCGCGAATAAGAAATGGGGATATTTTCTATATTTTATACCAACTATTATTGGAAATGATTGATGACACAATTGCGATTTAGTAATATGCTATTTATTTAGATTAGTTGGTGCAATTAGTTACCTATTAACGTTATTTTAGGGATTCGCTTTTAGAATAATATAGATTTTATAGTTTATTGTCATAAATTCATCATATTCTGTTGCCTAAATCAGAAAATATTACCAAAAAAGATTTTTTGTGATATTAAATATGAAAAACGAATTTATTACTAATTAATGTCGTTTTTTTTTAAAAACTTTCCTTAATTATCTTATCCAAGATCCGAACAAAATTAAACTGGGTCTAAACCCGATCCAAATGAATTAAAAACCAAAATCCCCTCTAAAAAATGTAGATTCAAAATAACATTTTTTTATAAATTGGATGGATATAAAATGTTTTCAATGATATATTATTTTCATTAACATTTTCAATAACATTTTTTGATAACATGTTCGAATAATGGATTACTATATAACATTTTGAATGACATTTTCAATAACATTTTCGAATAATATATTAGTATATTAGTATATAACATTTTTACTAATTGTGTTACATTTTCGAATTGATTAGTATATAACATTCTCGAATTATATTAATTATGTATTATATAAACAAAATCTTTTAATATCTTTAACCCGTTGACCCGTTGACCCGTTTATATATATTAGTGACATGGAATAAATTTTATGATTAGAATTATATAATGGCATATATTGTAATTTCTTACAAAATCTAAGTTATGACTCTTAGGATGTACTTCCCAAATATTAGTATAGGATAGATTTTAAAATATAAAAAAATGAAATCATAATCTACTGTATAAAGAAAAATAGATAATATATATGTGATATTAAGTAATTTAAGTGATTAAAAAGAGAGAATGAGGGAGAAAAAAAAAAGAATGGGAGAAAAAAAAAGAGAGAGAGACAGAATAGTGAAGAGGAAGGAAGAAAAAAAAGAAGTAAATATAAGTATGTTTTTTTGTTATGGATACATAAGAGTTAGTTTTGTTGAAGGGTAAATTCAACTTTACATATACAGAAAATTTGTTTAGAGTAGAAAGTGTCCTTTTTGAAAGATAGGTTAAAAAGTGTGCTATAGCGTAAATGTTCCTTAATCTCATCATAGATTTAGGTCCGGTTTTAAGGGTGTGTCAATAGTGCCAAAGACAGGGTCCCCCATTTTTCATTAATTTTTAAAGCATTTTATGGTCTTAATTTTTTTATATGTAAAAGAGGATTTACCATTTTTAAATTCTTAAGTATGGAACAAAAGTTGGATTTATTTTTATTTTAGCACATGAACCAAATTTTTTTGAGCCGGACCTGCATAGATTGGTGGTCATAAACCCCGTACCAATCATAATTGTGTTATAGAGTTCAAGTTAGAGACATATCAAAACTAAAATTTTAAACCAAATCTAACCAGAATAAACCAAAAATAAAAGTGACCAGTTAACTTTCATAAACGACAGACTAGATTTCAACTATAATACAAAAACCTTTAAAAGAAACATTGAATCTTGGGGATTACGCAAATATTTTGGGCCCCCAACAAGGGTTGATTCTTGGTGATCAAGTCTCTTCTCATGAATATAAACTCACTTATCTTCTCTTTACTTCTTCATCTCATTATCTCTCTCCCAAACATTTCTTCTTACATCTCCAAATATTTTCAAGATTTTTATATATTTCTCTAGAAATTAATGGATCGATCGAAATCTAATTTCTGTTCACATATTCCTCTTATTGGGTGTGTCATGGATGTTCTGTTTCAAATTTTTACATCAGATTCTAGAGAAGACAAAGAAACTGTTGATACTGGAAATCTTGAAGCTCAGAAATATTTCAGACAACTACAGTGTATTAAGCTCGGTTAATTAGTCTCTAAAATATAATTATGTAAAAAATCTCTATTTTTGGTGTAATTCTAAATATTAAATAGAATCTATCTATTGTGCAATAGTTTGAAACCATATAATAACGTGATAGTTATCCTTTTGGTGTCAAAATTCTCTACAAGAACTCAAATGATTCTATGTGATGATCGAAAAAGAATCGAAGATTCGATTACTATGTTTGCTCTGCGATAGATATATGATTTGTTTTCAAAATGCTCTATAAGAACATGAAAAACTCAAATTAATCTATGAGGAAATGATCAAGAAAATCGAAGACTCGGTCTCTATGTTTGATCAGTAGTATCACTGATCAAATACAATTTCTGTCCATCACTAATCATATCAATGTCTGTGATACGACCTTCGTCTTCTGATAATAGTACAAATGAGGCTTCATCCGATAGCCCGAGTTCTTGTGCAGCGGTTACTATGAGTTTCTTAAGGTCGCTCGGGATCCAGACCATAACTCCGTGCTTTCTACTACGCTCTTCTTTCGCCTCTTTCGGGTGGAATGGAAATATCGTGCATTTCCGTCTCTCAATTCTCTTCTCTGTTTTTCAAAATACAAATCAAATTCATTGACTACAAGATCCATTTAGAGTTGTATTTTCTGAAGAAAAGTATTCGAGTAGTACCTTGTAGTTCATGAGAGCTCGATGGGTGGATAGACGAATCAGAGGTTTTCACATCTTCGAGTAACTTAATCAGTTTCTTGTTTCCGCACATTCGGGCTTCATCAAGCGGAGAATTGCCCCACCTACAAACAGAGGATTTATAAAGGTTATTAAGTAAAATTTGAAACAATCTAATGATTCATTTTCATGGTTTTTACCGGTCTTTAGAAGTAACGCTTGCTCCAGCTTCAACCAACATCTTAGCCATCAAGTATAACCCTTCAGAAGCAGCGACATGAAGCGGCGTTCTATGATCATAATCTTCACTGTTTGGGTCCATACCGTTTAAGAGCAGTCTCTTGAGAAAATCAGAGTCGCCTTTCACAACTGTCGTGCAAAGGAAGTTTCCTGAATCTTCTAAATTAAAAGAGGCTCCTTCTTTGACAAGCAAACCAATCACTCCGTCTTGTCCTGCTTTCACAGCCTCTAATAATGGCGTGTTTCCGAACTTATCTGCGCAAATTTGTCATCAAAGTGTAAACATAAAACAATGATATGTTCTCCATTAGAACGGATATCGATTAATATATTACCTTTTAGATTGATATCAACACCTTCTTGAATAAGGAATAATGTAATGTCTTCATAGCCTCTACATGCTGCAAGATGCTGCATATGAAGAAGACAATTACAGGTGAAAGGATCAATAGGAAGCTCTTAAAAGAAAGATAATTGATCAGCGAAAAACGTACAAGCGGTGATCTTCCATCGTAATCTGTTTTGTTAGGATCGGCTCCAGATCGGATTAAGCTCTTAAGCTGGTAAAAATCTCCTTGGAAAGCTGCACTGTTTACTTTCAATGCAAGTTCTGCTTCTTGTTTCCCAATGTGAATCACAATGTCAGATTCTAGCTTCTTTATCCTCTCATTTGAATCCTTCTCCTGCCAAAACCAAGATTGAGTTGCAAGATTTCTCAATCGAGTTGAAACCCTATGTTAAAGATAAAAAAGAGTACCTCCATAAGATTGTTCAAGATTGTGCGTCCGTCGTGAAAATAAATCTCGAGAATGCTCGAGAAAGACTGTTTATCGAGTCGTAAAAGATGACATAGCTCACAAACCCTAACAGTGAAAGGTTGAGAGATGTTGCAAATGATGGAGATATCTCCAAAAGAAGTGTGAGGCCCAAGCAACGTCACACTCTCTTCTGATCCATCTGTTCTTGTAACAAGAGCCTCCTATAAAAAGCCACAAAACTACAAAGTGAGAAATAGAAAAGACTAAAGAGGCAAAGATAGACACAAGCACAATGAGATTCTACGTACGAGTAAGCCTTCACAAACGAAATACAAATGATCAACGACGTTTCCTTGCTCTGTTATTACTTCTCCTGGAAGAAAATACTCTTCATGGAGCCTTATAACTATTTGATTTATAAACTCCGTGGAGCAGCCTTTGAAGAGAGGGACTTTCTTGATGTAAGGCAGGTACAATAATTGCGCAATCTGCAAGAAAAATGTATTGACTGATGCTTTTTTTACAATCATACTATTAGAAGCCAGGATCAGTAGCTCAGTTGATGTATTAGAAGCTATTATTAGGGTACCTTGGCGCGGATAGAGGCAGGAATGTCCTGAAGCATGACAGTGTCGGTGTAGTGACTATCGTACTGCAATCTCACATGACCGGTGATCTGGCTACGAAGGTCTCTCCCGAGTTTTTGCGGTTCATGAAGCTTATGAGATCATTCATTTTATCTCTGAACCTCTCTGTGTTTGATCCTTTCACAATCAAGGCAGTGATGTTACCAATAAGGTAAGCACCGAGAACCATATCAAATGAAACATATATCATTACAAATATCATTTCCCTTAGATTCACCGCGTGTATGTCTCCATAACCTGAAGTCAGAAAAAATAACCATCAATCTCTTTGTAATAACTAACTAACTAGATGAACATCAAAATGGTATTGGTTTTTATACCGACAGTTGCCATAGTGACAATGGCGAAGTACAAAGCCGTGGTATAACGTTTCCAGAGGTCGATTTCTCGGAAATTCTCGTAGCTATAGTCTCCTAGCTTCAAGCTACCGATCCAAGTGTAACCTTCGTTCTCTGGAGGAAGAGTGGTGGCCAAGTAATAGAAAATGCAAGCAGCAGTGTGAGTACAGTAAACTTCAACGAATAAGAGCTTTAAGATTCTGGTGAAGAGATAGTTGATTCTTGTGTCTTTCTCAAGCCTTTGGAAAAACTCAACCACTTTGCGTACCCGAAACAGCCTTATCCACAACAAGTACCTCACCAACTCATGTTTCCTGATACCTACAAAAAGGTTAGGTGGGAGTATAAAGTATAAACCAAACCAAACCGAATCCGAACCAAAACGTATTTATAACCCACTTGGTTTATTATTTTAAAAACCGAAATCAAAGTGAAACTGATTTTAGTGTAACCTAAACCAAAGAAATTGATATATATTCATTTGAATTTTATTTTTTTATCATATAGTATGTAATTATAATATATATATATATATATGTAATAAATCATAATAGATAATTCTAATGTTAGTTAAAATAATTTTTTTATATGTTTTAAAGTTAAGTTTAACCTAAAAAATCCAACCTAACCAAACTAAAAGTACATCAAGTAGGAACTAAAGTTGCATCAACTAGAAACGAACCAAAAAAATTACAAATAGTGTTGATCTGGTCTGAGTTTCTATAAACCGAGAAAACCGAACCTGACTAAATCAAAACGAAACTAAACCGCAAACCGGATTTGTCCACTCCTACATACAAATGTTTTTTTTTTTTTTTGTTGCTAAAGTACATAAAAATGTTTCAAAGACATTTGACTTTCTTGCACATCTAAGCAATGCTAAAAAGCAAATAAGTACCTTATAGATAAGATCCCAAGGGAAGCAACCAATGAAATCCATGAGAAAATGTGACTTCAAGTACCTGAAACATGATGATGAAAGACATATTTCCTTCATTAAAAGCTATATATATATAAGTAGAAATAGTTTAATGCTTGTTAGAGTCTAATATATATAACTGACCGGAGAGCAATACGTGTTGGTTTATAGACAGTCCGGTAGGTCTGGGTATCGCGATAGGCAACAAAAAACGTAAGAACAATATCGACCAAGAACGCGATCTGACCAACAATGTCAAGTATAAAGAGTCTCTCAGGCAGACCGCGGAAGAAACCAAACTCCATTGGAGTGAACAAAGAAGAGTATATTGCCCACACCAATATGAACATTTCCCATGCCTTGAACCACCTGCTCATATGTTTCCAACTTTTCATTAGTTCAGGTCTAGTCAACGATTCTTGAAAATGTAAAGATTATGGCTTATACTTGATCTATCAAATTGGTAATGAAGTAGCTAAACGTTTAAAATTGGTAATACTAATAGTTAAGTGCAAGCAACAACGTTTCAAATATTAATTTGTTAAGATCGACGTAGCTGGACCAAGTTGAATATACATTTTTACAAGTATAGTTTTGACATTTTTATTAATTTATAATATTGTTATTATGCTCAGAAGAACAGGTGGATGAAATATCCACGTGTGGCCTCTGGTTACGGCAGCTTTAGTGGAACCAATTAATAATCCGATCTTCGATGATTCTGTCACAATTCATACATAATTACTAATATAACCCTATTAAAACATTTTCCTATAATTGAAATATAAACATTTATGGGAGTGTAACAGCATTGAGCATTCCTATAGATTCAAGTTGTTTAACGTAGAATTTTTTTTGTTTTTCTGGTGCAATTTAACGTAGGATTTCTATTTAAAGATAGATTTAAAGTTTTATTGGTCGGATTCTATTTTAGATTTAAGGTTAAAGTTATTCGATAGGTCGGCTGCATATAAAACAAATGCTTAGATTTAGAGGTGAAAATCGAAAGAGAAGAATATGACAAGGAAGTGTCCCACCAATTTTTCTTCTTCTTTTTTTTCCACCAATTTTTCTTTATCATAATGAGAAGAATATCGACAACAAAATCAACTAATTAGCATATAATATTTACTTTTAATAAGTGCTAAAATTATTCATCTAAATCCTATATTATATAGTTGTCTTAAAATCCTTTATTTTAAAAATATATATTTTAAACTAGATCGAAGTGACACTAATATTGAATCTGATTGGCCACACAACCATAAAAAAATTTAGTAGAAAAAAATAATAATAAACGGTTTTATAGTGGAAAAAAATATAAAGGTACAAAAAACTGAAAATATAATTTTAGTATTTTTAAATATTATGGTTTTAGTGATTAATAATCATTTGAAACAGTAAATTTAATTTGTATAGTATTATATAATTTGAAGTTAAAACCAACTCGTGTCCAATAAAATAGGTAGACAAGTATTTTGAAGTGATATGGTGAATAAGATTTTAAAAAAATTATAGAGAAAAATAAGAAGATATTTTAAAGATTTCAAGAAAAGTATTTTCTACGTTTTCATCTCCCGATAGGCCGATAGAAAGGAAACTCTTAAAGTGCATGATGAAGAGAGAGAAATAAAAGAACCTGTTTTTGTGATGAATGATGTATTTATAATCATTATGTCCATCGGTCTCTATATTCCGATGCTCTGATGAATCAAGCCACCGAAACGTCTCTGCTAAACTGAGTTTGCCTCTTCTTGATGAAACGTCGTCGTTTGATTCATCTTCTTCATGATCTATAATCTCTTGCCGTCGCCGGAGACGTCCCATAATTTTCAAGAATCGGTCAAATCTCCGGCGATCTCTCCGGTACGAAAATCTCGAGAAGAAAAAAACAGAATCAAATCTTGAATCTGAGAATCGAAACTTCTTGATAAATCTTGTAATAATGTCTTTCAAGTGGAAGAGAAAAGGCGGGAAGATCACGAGAGCTGCTTCTTGTTGTTTCGTCTTCTTTAGTTCTTCTTTCTCGTGTTGATTTTGTTTTTGTCGAGAAAATACTTTTTTTTTTTTTTTGGTTTGGACTCTTATTAGTTTGAAGTGTATAACGTAAGGTTTTGTCTAGAAGAATCGAATTTATATAGGACATCAGAACATGTCGATACATATAATTTTATAAGTCTAATCAAATAAAAAAAAGTGGAATCTTAGAAATTAAATATATGTGGAATTAAATTGTACGAAGGATTAATAAAAAAAATTTACCAGGAGATTACGATGCTTGTTGTTTAGGATAAATCTAAACTCTGGAAGATGATTTCCTAAACCAATTTAAACCGATTTTTTGTGAATCATCTATACTAGTATTTTTGGCAACACTTTGGTGACGGGTGGGTAAAAATACTTCTGAGTTAATCGGATATCCGACCCGTTTTTTAAATTCCTTCACAAAAAATTTGTTGGGTCGGGTTATATTTAACCCAACTCATACACCGGATATTTCATATTTAATAATTTAGATATTTAGAAGATTCGATTAAGATTTAGATTTATGATTCTCCTATCATCTTTGTTTGATTTCTTTTTAGAGAAATTGTTAAAAATGCCCCTTTTTCAATACCCCTTTTCAAAAATGTCCCCTTTGAGAGTCCATTTTTAAGTTTGCCCTCTTTTAATTTTTAATGACCATTTTACCCTTATTTGAAACAAAATTAGGTCCACAAAATACAAAATATTTTTTGGCGGGAAAAGTGATCCCGCAATTTTCCCGCCAAAACACTTGTAAAAACCTTTAAAATACCTTGTAAAATTTTTTCCCGCCAAAAAATTTTTTTTGCCGGAAAAGTGATTCCGCAATTTTTTTGGCGGGAAAAGTTTTGGTGGAAAAAATTTACAAGGTATTTTAAAGGTTTTACAGAGTATTTACAAGTGTTTTGTAAGGTTTTACAATGTATTTTAAAACGTTTTACAAGGTACTTATAAGGTTTTAACCGTTTTATAAGGTATTTATAACTTGTAAAACCTTATAAAAAACTTGTAAAACCTTATAACTTGTAAAACCTTATAAAATAGCTTGTAAAATCTTATAATATCTTATAAATACCTTATAAATACGTTGTAAAACCTTTTAAAATACATTGTAAAACCTTATAAATACCCTGTAAAAAACCTTTAAAATACCTTGTAAATTTTTCCCGCCAAAATTTTCCCGCCAAAAAAATTGCGGAATCACTTTTCCCGCAAAATTTTTTTTTGGCGGGAAAAAATTATACGGGAAAATTTTACAAGGTATTTTAAAGGTTTTACAAGTTTTTACAAGTGTTTTGGCGGAAAAAATTGCGGGATCACTTTTCCCGCCAAAAAAATATTTTGAATTTTGTGGACCTAATTTTGTTATATTTTCTTATATATTTGTGATATCTTTTATTAAAAGAAGGGTAATTTAGTCATTTTGTATATAAAAAGAGGTATTTTTTAAAAATGGACAGCCAAAGGGGGCATTTTTGAAAAGGGGTATTGAAAAAGGGGTATTTTTGTGAGTCTCCCTTGTTTTTAACTGTTTTGAATCATCATATAATAAATAAAGTTTTTTTTTTGCATATATTGTGATTCGAAATTTTAAAAACGGACATATATTATCCAATTGACGAAAATGTGTGATCAACGTTCTACATCGATTAAAATATTTACACAATGATTCAAAATCATATCATAAATAAGATCAACATTAATAAAATAAATGAGTTTTTGGGCCAGACGGGTTTGGCGGGACGGGTTTTTGAATTAACAATAATAAAAAGATTAAAATATCATTAATCCGCCGCTTCAATATGGATTAAATCCTTTTTTTTTAATATCACCAATATTAGACATATTAAATCAGTCTCATTTAGAAAGATTGTATAAAACTAAAAATTGTCCCGTGGTATAATGTTACTTAGTAAAAATATTTATAAAATTTTAAAATATCATTAACATGCCGCTCTAATACATATTAAATCTTCAGTTTATTAAAATATAAATGTCTTAGAGAATGATATGATTTGTAAACTTTTATATATAATAAATAATCATTAAATTTTAAAATAAAAACAAATCACGGCACGGGTTAAGAAATTACGGAACGAGTTATATTTCGGAAAGGATTTATATGGCGGACGAATTTGAATCAATATTTATATACCGCTTTAATACGGGTTAAATCCTCAATTTATTGATAATTGTCTCGTGGACTCGTGGTATACCGTTACTTAATATCAATTGTAAACTATAATATAAATAAATACTTATGTTATAACGAGATACAATTTACAAAATATTTTTATACTAACTTTAAAATTAAATCATCCCGCGGTGTACCGTGGGTTAAAATCTAGTTTATAGCATAATTTTAAGGTTTAAACTGGACTACTTGAACATTTCACGGGGTATATGGAGGAGTATTTTTTCAATAATAAATATTTTGTAAATTAATATAATAATTATAAATATTTATCGGTGTGTAACAGCCTAACAGCATTTCTTCTAGTTGTTTAACGTAGGATTTCTATTTAAAGTAAAATCTAAATATATATACAGCAAGCACGTTTTGAGATTTAGTTTAAACTAGCTAGATGAATATCCACGCTACGCGTGAGTTTTTGTGTTAAAAATTGTAGAAAAATATGATTATGTTTTTTGTTGCGTTTTATGTTATTTTGTGTGTGTGTGTTATTATGTAATTAATAAAGTCATATCTATTTTCTATAGTTATAATTTTTATGATTAGATTGATCTTTGACTCGAAATATTAATTCCACGTTTTTAATGTATAAACCTGATTATTTATATACCTACGATCATAATCTTTCATTACCATGAATACATACAACAATAATATATGATATATTGATACAATGGTATGTAATTATGTTTACTTATGTGGTTTGAAACTTGTCAAACTTAATTCTAAACAACAATTCTTTGTTCCATTTACTCTCTCGTCATCTAGTACGTCAACCACATCATGCTAGTACTTTAAGTCGTGTTTTAAATTTCTTGGTATGTCTAAAGTCTCAAAAGACCCTTAAGTGGAAAAAATTGTGTGTCAATGTTACCAACTTATCATAACACACAAAAATAAAAAGAGAAAATGCTATATTCAGAAAACGTAACATGAAGTTAGGTAACAAATATATAAACAACAACAGAAGTAATTTATAGGCATTATCGAGTAATGACCATCAATAAAAAATTTTAATAATATAAGAAGAGTATAATGAAAGTATTGCTTAATACATTAGTATGATCTTCTACTTTATTTTTTAGTTTTTTAAAAAATCAATTAAGAATGAGATTAATGGAGAATTTAACACAACAAAAGACTTTTTATTTTCTCTCAATTAATTTTGCTAATCTTTTTATTTAAATAATGTAGAATGACACTTGTCATTTCTTATGTGATGATGTGGCATTCATATGGAGAGAGTTGGCCAACTTTTTGGTCGGCTGTGTATAAAACAAAAGAGAAGAAATATACACAAATATGAAGACGTGTCCAAAAAAGTGAGAATATCGACTATAAATCACCTAATTTGCATCTAAATATTGACTTTCATTTATATAATGTACGCCAGAGATAATTCATTTTAGTATGAAATTTTATTTTCTCTTAATTTTTAAAAATTTTTAGTTTAATAGTTATAATTATATAATCAATCTTAAAATAGGTTTTTGGTATATGGGCCAAAAAAATTACACGGGTTACAAAAACAAGTGGGCTAAATCGGAAAACAAAAGAAACAAGATCTGTAGAACGGCGGTACACCGGAGACGCAGCCCTCGCCTTTCAGATCCGATGCTAACAAGGACGGCTTCTTCGTGGACAAGGCCTCGACATCTAGCATGTGGTTGGAGCTAGCAAATCCCGCCGTACACCATCATCGAAAAACAAGCCGAACCCAAAATATTCCTTTCGGGAAAGGAAGCACCACCACAACCGAGACCCAAAACCTTTTCTCCCCTACCTAGCAAGAAGAGAGACATCAGTGCTAACCTTCACTTCCCCTGTGTCTCACCCTTGACCACTACAAAAGGTAAACTCACCTTCAGATCCGATAAAGAGGAAGCCAATCGTGGCGGCAGATGATAGATGTCGGCTCAAACAAACCATCAACCACCGAGATCCGGCCAAGAATCACCCGCAATAAGCCGTCTAAGATCCGGCCAAGGATCCACCGCTAACCTCTTCGCAAAGTAGCGAACCCACCGATCCATATCATAACTCCGCCGCTCACCGAAGCTTTAAATCATAAGCCGCCCGAGCCGTGAGAAACATGATCCAATCAACCGGAGTCCTTAAACCAGCAGAACGCATGAACCGTTTCTCTGCTGCCAAGAAGAAGAGCCACCATCAAGCATCAAACCATGGACCAAACCACTCCTCACACCATCGGAAAAGAGAGTCGCTCACCACTGCTTCGCCCTCCGACCCATCAACTGATGCTGAAGAACATAAGGTGAAATTGGGAGGGCGAGGCCACACACGCGCCGACGAAATTGTTGGAAATGTATGCCTCTCCTTCAAAATTAAAACATGCGGCTAGGGTTTCTAGAGAAAGGAGAGAATGTTTCTTTGTTGGGGCTCTCAAAGGCTTCTTGAAAAAGTTTATTTTTATTTAGTAGATGAAGATAAAAAGTTTAATAGTTATAATAAATCCTATATATATATATATATATATAGTAGATGAAGATAATTCTCACATTATCCTTTAACAACAAAAAACAATAACATGTTTCCAACTATTAATGCATATAAAAATTATTTAGTATCTGGTTAAGTACTATATATGAGCTTCATTGGTATGTCAGATAAACATCAAAATAACATAATAGCTGAATAACTGTTAGCAAAATGAACTGAGTGGATAAATTTTTTATATAATAATTATACAACGCTGAAAAAT